AAAAGAAATTCAAAATAACTGTTATATATGTTTATGTTATCTGTGGCAAGCTGGCCACTTTCAATAGGGAAACCTATTTATGTTCTTTTTTTGTTTATAAAAATATATGTGTGTATGTGTGTGTGTAGGTAATTCACAGACTAAGTAGCTTGTTTAATTCACACAATAAATAATTATTGCATTATATACTGAAAATATATAACAATAACTAAGCCTATCTAGAAAATATATTTTAGTAGCTATTGCAATTGTTCATCATCATCATATCATCACGCCTTTTTATCCCCGAAGGGGTAGGCAGAGGTGCACATTACGGCACTTAATGCCACTGTACAATGTGACACCCACTTTTCACTATTTATGTTATGAGTCCCATGTAATAGGGGGTGAGCCTATTGCCATATACTAGGCACCAGTCCAGACTCCCTACCACTGAGATTTTTGAAAAATCCCAGTAATACTTTGCCCGACCCGAGAATCGAACCCGAGACCCCTTGCCCGGCAGTCGCACTTGCGACCACTAGGCCAACGAGGCAGTCTTTGCAATTGTTCCTATCCGGCAATAAGCCTACCAACATAGACAGATAACCACCAGCAAACGTGCCTTCTGATAGTAAGCAATCAGCACTGCCCATCGACACTCGTAAAAGTAGAACAGTTAAAAGTGCTTTGCCGGCCTTTAGTTGAGGGCTGGATTGAACCTCTGGTTACTTCAGTCACATGGCGAACACAACGTTGAACGTAAGCGTTGTTTCATGCCGGTGTGTTCAGAGGCCTTAGTACGAGTTTGATTTACGTTTAAAGTAATCGTAACGAGTACGCATTCGGCGTTCTGATTGGTTGCTTCATTGGCGCCGGCCAATCAGAGCGCCGAACGCGTACTCGTTTCGAATACTTTAAACGTAAAACAAACCCGTACTAAGGCATCTGTATTGTATTCGAGCCGCTCCATTCGTGCCGGAGCACGGCTCTCACACGTGAAATGGGTTTTTTATCATAGTATTCACAAAGTGAACCATTCCAGATTAATTAACTCCATTTGCCACGAGTATTAAGTGCTTATGGGTAATACCGAGTATTACGTGTGTATTTTTCAATTCCCGGAACTAAATTGCGTGTTGTTTGTTATAGCTGGTAGTGTTGGAGTACAAATTAATTGATAAAGGACGTGTATTAATTGGTTAGTATGGGACTTTAGATGCACAATAATTAATGTTTTTTTTCTATAAAAACTACACAATTGATCTTAAAACTACAGGTTTAAAAATAAAACACTTAAAAATTTAGCAAGAGTTTAATAAAAAAATGCAAAATAATAAAAATATCTCCAAATATTGAGCCTTAACGCTAGGATATCTGTAGGTTTACAACATCCAAAAATACAAAAATTACACGCACTCACACAATGAGGGTATCGTCTGTGATCATTACATTACATTACATGTAACCTCCTTCGATAAAATTGACAGATGTTTTGGCGCCAATTCTCAATGTCATCTGTCAGAAAAAGTACACACGTTTCTTGTTGCCTGCTCTGTCGATGTTATCGAAAAAGGATTAGGGAAAAGATTCAAGACATCTAACGCCGATTTCATAATAATGAAACAAAAAAGTAATATTGGCACTAGATTCCCAATTTTGTAGCAATTTTACGTATTACATACATACATACATTAGCGTTTTGGACGAAACTATTTGAAGGGGGACGAGGAAGGTTTCAGTTACAAAATCAATTTATTGTCATTTCACAACTTTGGTAAGGGATTTAGAGAGCAAATTTATGCGGGTATCACATTGTGCATCAAAATATTTGACGATTTCTTAAAGAACACACAAGTTTTAGTTTGGTTTTAGGTACTCTTGTAATACTGCTATTATAAATATAGCATCAATACAAATACCTAGCGCTAAGACAAAATTTATACCACATTCTCTTAGTTAAATATAACCATCATTATTTTGTCTTGGGCGTTTATTGTTAAATTATACTCATTTATCTATGTTGATTACAAATTCAAGTGTTAAGATATTTAAAATTTAAACAAATGATTATCGCAGAGTACCTACGCATTAACTTGAATAATAAGAAACCGTCAAATAAATTCTACTTTTGATTTAAATCTCACAAACAATGAGAATTAATAAAATTGTGGTAAGACAGATAAAGGTGTGGTCCTAATATCAGCGGGTACGATTCGAAAATACAATTTAAATATCTTATTACTTTGTATTACGAAAAGTAGTACTTTTTATTATGATATTCATAGTTAATAATCATATTTCCAGAATAGACGGATGAAAGATATAAACAAAATTATCCAAAAAGCTAGGGGCCCGTGAAGTGACTCGAAACTAGTGGAGTAACCTCTTTGAACAGTTACATGATTAAGATGTATAATTTAACAAATTTTGTATGTATCGGGATATCCACAAGGTGGTTGGTAGTGGTTGGATGCGTAAAGCTGAAAAGCCAGCTATTAAGAGAAGTATAGACTTCTGTTAACATAGGACATAGGTCCAACAATGGATGTACACGGGCTGATGCTGATGTATCAGGATTAGAGATACGCGGATTTATCCAATAAAGTAGCTAAGTACTCCAGTAAAATCGATATCTACTCATTATTTATTCATATTGAGTACCAATTTATCTGAAAAATTCACATCTGTAACCACGATAGTTATAATACGAAATGAACCAGTAGAAAACCAGTCTCACAATATCCGCTCAGCTTATATACCCGCCGTTACTAAGACCACAACCTCATATAAAACTTCTTTTATCTCTTGCTCTTAAAAGATATTTTCATAATATACTTGGTTACCAAAGGTGCGTTCTTACTAACAAACGATATAATGTGGTGATTTCTTTATTTTGATATGAATATTGTGTGCAGTAGTATGAAGCGTCCGTTTATTGTCGGTGATATTTTGAACATTTCCCCTAGAAAATAAGGTAGATTTTTATAATTTTGACTTATTTGGGCAATGATTATTTATTAACTGTTAGTAAAATTAATTTTACTAGCTAAATATTTCATTATATTAATAAAGAATACGTATATGCATACGTTTGCGTATGTTTAAAACTCCACCGACAACAAACCGCTCAAAATCTAAACTAAAAATATACATAGAAATCTTAATTATAAATTAATCATAAAGTAATACATTTTGAATATATTTTTAAGAATCTTCCCATTTAAAGTATATATTTTTGACTAGTGAATAAAAATTACACCTATTCGTAAATATTTAAGTAAAATACGAAAGCTTGAGTATGACGCCCCTGACTTTTGTCTCACTCTAACTTGGTGAGGTGTGAGTGAGAGGATACTACATACATCATACTCGGTCTTGTAGGCCTATTGATGCGCTTTAACTTTAATTTCATGACTTTAAAGTTCAATTTTGAATGGGAATATTAATTTAATACATACATAATTTAAAAATGAGATTCCATTTTAATACTAGGTATAAAATCTAGCTATCTAGATATTTCTGTCGATTTATACAAAGACAGATATTTTCGCAATAGTAGAGAAATAGGGGTTGAGACAGTAACTTCACAGTCTCGCCAAGTCTCGTTTTGACTTTAAATAAATATTTTTGACTGACGACGAATCTCGCTGTATTAGTTACTTTCACATCTCATACAAGTTTCCATCAAAATAAAATATAAACTAATACAATTTCAACATATTGACAAGAAAAACATAGTCTTTGGCGTTTTGAGCAAAAAGTGATGTGTTTATGGCATCAACTAGCGGTACTAAATCGCGCTTTCATTAGTTACAGGTTTTTTTTTTCATATACAAAGACTAAGAAGGAAATGCAATAAAGATGGAGTCTTCTTTAGATTGGGCCACTTGATTAGGAGAGATTTTATATAACTAGAGACAAGGAAAAGAGATGTATTAAGTGTAAGAAATATTATTATAGTAACTGGGAATCTAGAAGACTTAGTTTACTTGCAGACCCCATCTTCAATGTATTTCCGAACTACCTTAATAATCATTGCAAATCTTTTATTTTCTGAATACAATTATTGATTCTTGTAGACGTGAAAAATAATATTTTTCAAAGATTAATGATAGATTCACAATGATCACAAGCCAGTATTATTTCTAGCAATATTAATGGTGACTATAGAATATTGGTTACATCATATAATGTCAATTCCCTAATAAGTATGAATACCCTACACATCCTTACATACAAGTATTACATACAAATCATACGTATATTCAATATTTTTTGTTATTACATACATAAAAGTAAATACGCAATATAAATAAATGCATTTTATGGCAAAATGTAGGAATGTTGCGCTGACCTATTTGTTTAATAAAAACTTTATGCGATAATCGAGTTTGAAATCGATACAAAATGTATCGATTAGTAAATGTAGCGGTACTGAATGTATCGATTGGCGTCTACTGACAATAGTCGACTAAAATTTATGTCATTTGAAATTGAATTTTGAGCATTTTGGTAGAGTCCTTATTTGAACAAATTGTGGGTCAATAATAAACGCGTTAAGTGAGCATTCTATGAGCATGGTTGTTTAAGTTTTGGTCGAATATCAATGAGATCACGAGTTAGCATTTCAGCAAATAATTTATCAGCAGTGCGGCGATGAGAATGTGACCGGCCATGAGCAGTGACTTGATATTTTTTTATAAACATTTCAATTTGGAAATGGGAGACGTCTTGTAAAGAGCTTGCTATTCACCAACGACAATTCTTCCACCAAAATAGCGGTATTTTTGTAAAAAAAAAATGGCGCAGTATTTTATTACAATTCATAAAAAAATGCACTGGCCCGTTTCAAACATGAAATACCAAGTTAAAATTAAATACAACATGTCTTTCGCTTAAAATTCGCCTCGCAGTATGTTCTTTCTGAGGCCTTAGTATGAGTTTGTTTAACGTTTAACGTAATCGTAACGAGTACGCGTTCGGCGCTCTGATTGGTTGATTCATTGGTGCTGGCCAATCAGAGCACCGAACGCGTACTTTACGTACGTTTCGAATACTTTAAACGTAAATCTAACTCGTACTAAGGCCTCTGTAAAATTTCTATCCTTTTATTTTCGAAGACTCCCATTTTCAAATCGCAGTGTATATTTTGACGGTGGACTTAAAACTATAATCAGTACATATTATTGGACTTATGCGCCGACGTATAACACTAGGGCTCTACATTACCACGACTATTTGATATCTAAGATTAAAATGTAAAAAATGGGATCCACTGGAAAAATTTCTATAAAATATTTTGAAATCCCAAGTTCATTGTTAGGTATAAAAAGTTAAATTTTGTTTGCGAGGGGTGCTATTTTATGTTTTAGATTTGGCGGTACGCATAGAGATAGATATAACTTTGAACAATAAATTCATATTATAATCGAAATGAAGAAGTCCATTCTTCTACGCCGGTCTATATCTTTGGATGCGACTTCAAATATTAGATAACTTAAATTTTACTATTTTTCGGTAAATACTTGCTGTTTGGTTCCTTGTACTCCTATTTTGACAAGTCGTTATATCGCCCATTCTACTTTTAACATCTATACATATGACTCCAATATCTAACTGTGTGTTTGTTATAAAATTATGAATATATTTGAAAGTAATATCTCTCAAATCAGAACACATTCAATTTTCAAGCAAATACCTATATTCGTACCGCCAATATCAGTCTACGGGCGATCAGTCGATGTACATATAACGCGACCGATAACGGGAGCCTCTAAATAACACTACAAGCTAGAGTTGTTCAATTGCACTTGATTTAGTCGGGTTACCTTTCACTGATCCCATTCGGATTCGTCTACGCCTTCCATACTGTCTTGCTCCAATTTCAAATTCATCTGTACTTTGGCGCTAATGGATTTCATTATCTGTGAAAGAAAGTTTTTTTTTATATATTGTTTTCGATAATAAGGACATTGATTCTTTTTTCAGGTGAATATTGAGAAGATGTCAAGTCTCAGAATGTGCTAAGACGGACTCAATCAAATTAAGGTAAGTATTATTAGTTATTCGAGTCATACACTCCTGCCTTCTCTTTCAGAGAATATATGTCATATATTCTCAAGTAAGAGTAAGAGGCAGGAGTGTATATAATAATAGCAACTTTTCGCCAACAGTTATGTAATGACCCCAATATAATAAGGGTGAGCCTACTGTCACTGTCCTGGTACTATTTAAACTGCTTCATAGGTCGAGTGGTTGCAAACTACTTGATCTAGGACTACGAGATAAAGAATTAAATATTTTAATTGTTTTCCCCTATTGAATGGGACTCGTAACATGACTGGCGAAAAGTTATTGTTCCAGTTAAAACATGCACCTCTTAATGTATAATTGTATACTTACGCTGTCCTCCTTAGCCTTGGTATCCTGCGGTACATGTGACTTGATGAGGTCCGGCTTGGGCTTGGCGGCCGCCGCCGGCCGGTCGCGGGCCTCGCGGGATACTGGGGACGCCGCGGTATGCGCCGATACTAAGGAAACATACAGGTAATTATAATAATTATCTATTCAATTGTAAAAATATACAGTTTGCTCATATAAATTGCTGATTTGATAGAAGTTTTCGAACATACTCATGGTCGATTACTTTCGAAACACATTGGAGCTCACCATAATGGACTCCGCAAGAAAAGTCGTCGTACAAACCAGTCGAGCACCCTCGAAAACAATTCAATATAGGCAACATATTACTATTATTTTAAGGGATAAGCCGGCAAACGAGTAGACTTATCACCTCATGGTAAGCAATTGGCGTGATGGCGTCGCACATGGACACCCAAAACACCAAAGAGTTACAAAAACGTTGCCAGCCTTTTGATGTTTAACTCTTTCAGTCACACTTCTAACTGGTTATGAATATATTTCATTTAATTATACTAAAATACTTAAAAAACAAAACAAAAAAATCTGAAGCATACTTCAAAAATTGAATTTCTAAGAAAAGGTGGTTAGCTACAGTGACCACTAAGACTGAAAGAGTTAAGGATTTGAGTATAGTCAGGGAGGAGGAGGGTTTAAGTCGGTAGATAATATAATGTTCTGTAAGACTGACGCGGCTCCATCCCGGGCGGCTGCAGACTGACGAGGCGCGGCGGGACGGTGTCCCCGGCCAGCCAGCCCGCCGCGCCCTGCCACGCCGCCCACGTCACCAGCGTCGGCGGGAACAGGTCGTCTTGGAACAACTCGCTCTGTGCACACGAGGTACCGATATTACAGGTAACTGCTTAAACTTAACGTGTTCATTAGTCGCATAAGATTTTAGAAGTAAACTACCAGCAATACTTTATTTAACTACTTTTTAAATTAGACCATCAGAAATGAAGACTTTATTTCTTTATTTTAAAAAAATGTTGCCCCACACCAGGATTTCCTCCTATGTCGTGGGTGTGTTTACAAACATACAAGTTCACATACAAATGACATCCAGTGCTCCGTGCGGGAATCGAATCCGCAACACGTTGCACGGCAGCCGGTTGCCCAGCTACCGAATTAAACAGTACTTTAAGATGTTATTATCACCCTTGCAAGTTGTGGAAAGCACACGGTAATCACTCGTTGCTTCAAAAATAACTATAAAAAGGCTGGGAAATATAAGTTTAGACTTTTATGACGTTCAAGAGTGCGTCTCTGGTCTAATTGAAATAAATAACTTTGACTTTGACTTTAAAGACTTACCTTTATTCTGGGCACAGTGAAAGATAGCGGCTCAACTGTTCCATTAGTCAGTCGTAATGCTCTTGCAAACTCCACCTGAAACAAACATCAGAAACATCACAGACATGCAAGATACAAATAATGCCAAGTAATTTTCAAGTCTGTTGTTATTGAACTCCATGTTGCGGAAGCGACTAACCTTTTCAACAGCGACTAGATTCTTCTGCAAGAAGGCGATCCCTTGGTGCAGAGTGGGCGAGCGATGGTGGGACAGCGCGCATAGATGGGGAGCCTCGCTCGTCACCTCGTAGCAGTAGATCGTAGAGTCACCCTGTATATAAACACTTATATTGTAACAATCTTGTTTCCCGATCGAAATATTATATACTTATCGTGATTTTAATTTTTTTTTATAGTACACACAGCGACAGAAAACGAAGTACTTTCCTTAATCAAAAATTATTTCGACTGTTCAATACAAGAAAATATTAAAAAATAATTATTGTATTGAACTTGCTGCCGGCTGGCTGCCGTGCAACGTGTCGCGGGTTCGATTCCCGCACGGAACAACACTTTGTGTGATCCACAAATTGTTGTTCCGGGTCGGGGTGTCATGTGTATGTGAACTTGTATGTTTCTAAACGCACCCACGACACAGGAGATAATCCTAGTGTGGGGCAAAGTTTTATTTAACACGTTAAACGCCATGGGGATCACCGGTGACCAGCGTTAGCGGAGGATTTACCTTCAAAAGTTTATTTTGGGCAGTCAAAGTCTTAAAAAAAATTTAGTATATTTTTAGTACATTTTTAAGAAATACGTAAGTTGCTGTTTAGCGTAAAAAACGTGACGTCACAATACACAATGTCGTACAAAATTCATAGAAAACTGTCGTTTTGGACAGTTCAAAAAAAGTATTGAATTTGAATAGTTGGCAAGGACCCAATTTGACTGGAATGACATAATTTCAAGCGAATGTCGTAGAAGCCGACTGAATATTGTAAAGAGACCAAGCAGAAAGAGTCGCACTGAACATTGAACACAACATCAATCTTAGCGAGTTCGCATCGTCTGTAGTAAACCATCTTTAAACATGGCTAAAATACTGTATAAATTAGTTAACTTAGCAGCATTATAAGTTAGTAAGTCCATCCTTATGAGGGTGACATTGTCATTTTTGATAAAACCCTTCATAATTAAACTGTCTAACACCGCGAGGACACCGGTGACCGCAACCTATTGTTCTTTGTGTCTAGAGGTATAATGACGGTATCAAAGGGTTAAAGAAAAAACAACAGACCTAAGCAACAGCGCTCTTATAAACTTGTACCATTTGTAATGCGATCTCCAACTCGCCTAACCATGGGGATTGCGACCAAACCTAATATTTAGACAAGGCCTATTAACCAATGGACCTTCAGTGGAGATGAACAATGACAATGATGTTGCTAGCTGACTTACCCGTCCAGTGAGGAACAGAGTGCCGGAGTCGTGGTCGATGTGTATCTGCAGTATGGCGGGGGACACGTCCAGCCCCACCGTGCATACGGGCGCGGACAGGTCGCTGGCCTTGTATAGCAGGATCTGGCGCTCTGACACTCTGCCAAATATACGAGTATATTTAGAATTGGTAACTTTTGAAAAAAAGAATGAGATCATTGATTTACCATCTTTTCACAATTCAAAACCATAAAAAAGCAGGTGCTAAACTAGACTAAGGGACAAATACAATACAGCTGACAGTCGAGAATAATAGACTTTAATCCTCTAGACTTTTGACAGAAATTCAATAGAAATAATGTCAAAGGTCAATCTCAATCCAAAGATTTTAGTTTGACATAGATAGACCTACCGATTACAGGCAAGTGAGGCTTATGATATATTATTATGTACGATCTTACTTGTCAAACCCGGTGACGACGAGATGTGTCCCGTTGAGTGCCCAGACGACGCGCGCCCCGCGGCTGCCGGCCGGGCCCGGCCCGCTCGCTATGGGCTCCGGCGACGAGCGGGGCTTGTATACCTACAAAACATTAACAAAAACTGTTACAATTCATTATCATTGTAGGTCGCCAAGTTTTCATACAAATATAACTTTTTTAGTTAGGTAACCTAGCCTCTCTGAGCGCGAACGAAATCAACGCTTTATAAAAAATATTTCGTAATTTAGTAATAAAATATCTTACCCTTATAAGTCCATCTTTGCAGACAGTAGCTAAATATTCCCCACAGGGTGACCAGTCTAATGCGAATATCTGATCAGTGTGGCCAGTTAATATAATGGCTGCTACCGGAGTCTCCGGGTTCAAATCCCAGATCTTGACACTCAAGTCATGAGCTGCGGTGGTCAGTAAGTCTGACGCGGTCGGGTGGAACCGTATTATGTAGATCTTGTCCGGGTGAGCCGAGAATGTACGAGCTGGCTCGTTCGTTGATTCTTGTAGTCCTGAAGATGAAAATGTAAGTGTTAATATATCATTAATGACTGATTTTAATAACCCATTAATCTCTTGAATGCATTGATATGAGACACAATGGATCCACGTTTTAGACATACGAAAGGCTAACCTAATTTTGGAATAATTTCAACTGACAATATAAACAGATATCGATAGTGAATCAAGAGTTAGACTATTGCGTGTCGCTACTACTAATTATACTATGAAAGGTAAGAAAATGAACAATAAAACCAACTGAAGAAGTAGTGTTTCTGTAGACTATTTCTGAATAAGAGAAATATAATCTTCTCTTTACTATCCTTATTTTAGAGGTAGCGCATTTCAGACTTCCTATCCTAACTGGGATATAGCAGCATAGACAAATAAACAAAAATAGAATTGAACGGAGAAATCTTACCATCTTCGGGTATGATCCACTCGCGGACCAGGCCGTCGTCACAAGCTACGAGTAGCCTGGTGGGACAGAAGGGGTCCCAGGCCCAGTCCTGCAGCGGCGCGGGATGCAGCAGGGCGGGCACGCGCGGGGCGGGCGCGGGCCCGCGCGCCTTGGCGCCGCCCGGCAGCTCCAGCACGCCCACGCGGCCGCCGCCGCCGCCCAGCGGCACGGCGCAGCGGTACCCGTTGGCTGCGGACAACACGTGCCATCCTTTTATATGCTATTTCACATTATTACTTTAATGTGACATTGTTTTTCATTTCAACATTTTTTTTTCTTTTTACCTTGACATTTACTTTTTATTTTACAATTGTTAGTGCTAGGACCGTCCCAGATTTTTGCCTCCATTTCTTTTCTAATTACCCATATTCTGACAGTTTGAGTATTTGTGCGACCCACGCAAATGTTCTTTAGGTTGGTGTTGTTCGTCCAATCAGTCAGCCTCACCTGTTAAGTGAGCTGACTGTAAACCGACACATGCGTACTGCCTTCAGAGCGGGTCCGCTCAAACTGTTGTGGTTCTTTCCTCAAAAGGCCACTACAGAAAAAATTTGCACGGTTCTCACACATAATCTATTATACATATTGTCTGGACTTTAAAAGAGACAGACCTCTGAGTTTGTTTCGGCATTTCTTCTCAGAGTAGTCAGTTAGAAAATGTCGACCTCATCGTTCGCTTGATAAAATTGACGTGTAAAAGTGCTACCTTGTAGCCTATTTGCAGAAATAAATTCACTTGTTTCACTTGTATCGTGCTTCTGAATCAATCAAGGAGGTAACACGCGCGAGTACTGTGGCTGTGTATCACTCACCATAGAAACCGTTGCATTCTCCAGATATCTGTCTGCTAATGTTCTTGATGTTCTCCAACTGAGTCGACTTGTGGCCGGGAGTTCCTTTCAAGTGACGGAATTTCGATACTTTACCTGTTGAGCACATTAATATTCTTATTATTTTGAATATTGATTTATTTCAAAATCTAAAGCAAATATAATAATATGAAGTATTAAATAGAATATCAATAAACCTAATCTGTAGATTTGCATACTAATAATAGAACTTCCATACGGAACATACGTCAAAATTCTAGATAGCAAATCTATAGGTGAAAATTTTTGCAGTTCTAATAATAAAACTTCCTCACCAAACACAGTGGAAGTCCTCTTTGTAGTGACGTTAGGCACTGAAGCCCTCTTGTCTTCACGGTCTGGACTTTTACGGGATTTCAGCGAATCTCGACGTCTGAAACAAAATTAAATCAATATTATTCAACCCAGTCTAGTCCCGAATAGGGGAAAGGATTAATTGGCAGTATTTTCGGCTTTCGAAAATTGTTCTGTGATAGCACAAACCCTAGAATTATACTCGAAATATTGGTATAGACTTTTACCTAGATACCTAGATGTCTCGTTTTCAACAAACGGGACTGTCCCTTTTTTATAATTACGAGCCCCGTTGTCATTGCATAACTAAACATAATTCATAATTTGATTGATTCATAAAATAAAACATAATTAAAAATTTATGAATTTTAAAAAAAATTACAAATAATATGTATTTTTAGCGTTACATAAGTCTCCCAAGTTTTGACGAAGTAAAGACGAAAAATGCGCTAAGTAGGTATTTTATGCAGTTAGTAATGTTAACTTTTTGTTGTGAGCACAAAATTTGTATTTACAGGGTCTATAATACCTATATCAGATGTCTGACTGAATAATTATAAATAAACGAATGGCCACGTTACTTATACCTCATCACACGATTGTCATAAGAAACTGGTGATAAATGGATGTGTGTGTCAGTGTGTGTGTGTGTGTGTGCAAGCACTAATAGATGTGGTTTATGTGTTTACTGACCTCAGGGGAGCGGGCGAGGGCGGTGTATCGGACTCCACGGCGACACTCACTGACCTCGACTCGTACGCACGACGACGGTCAGCTATTGACTGGGCACCGCTGTAAACAAACAACACTAATAAGTACTATTATTTATAATACACGCCACGAATAGAAATTTGTCGTGGTGGGGGTAAGTTGGCGCATTGTGTATGTGTATTTTTATTATCTCACTAGCTGTGCCCGCGACTTCATTCGCGTAGAATAGTGACTATGAGCAGCGTTTTTTTTTTTAAATATATACTTATTTTTATTTTAGATTTGGATCATAATCACAGTAATTTTGGGTAGCTTTACTGTAATACTTTACTATATACAATATTAGACGTATGGCCATCGGCGGTGAAAGCATACAGGCTGCTGGGATTGCTAACACGGGACAGAGCCACATACAATTGACCGTGCGAAAAACAGCTGATACTTAGATCTATACCCACAACTTTTAGAGTCTGACCTTGAGCTTTATTAATTGTCATGGCGAAACATAGGCTCACTGGAAACTGAATTCGTTTAAAATTAAACGGAAAATTTTTTGGAATGAGAGGAATCTGAGGAATAAAACCACTATCACCTTTTCCGCACCCTGTTAAATATATATATATATATTTATATATAATAGATATAGATAGATGTATGTATAAGCATAGAATAGTGTTCGACGTGATTCTTTAATTTGACATAACTTTTTTATTTATGAACCGATTTACATGAAACAAACACTAAAGCATAACTGAAGCATACCACAATATATTCATGAAAACCGCATCCAACTCGGATCAGCCGTTTCTGAGATTAGCGTGAACAGACAAACAGACAAACAGACAAAAAAAAAGTTAGTTACATTTTTGGGTTCGACATCGACATAAAAATAGCCCCTGCTATTTTTTTTATTTTTATTTTCAATGTACAGACAGCACTTTTCTACAATTTTATTATATGTATAGATTATTTCTCACTATACCTTTTTTATTCTTACGTTAACCTTCTTCCACGTAGGGATGATTAAAGAAATGTGATGGTTAAACCTGCTAAGTTACATAATGAATGTCTAACTTAATCTATTTTAAATTTGTAAACGAGTACTCACTCGGTATTTTCAAACATTTTCCTTCGTTCCGCTGTGCTCGGCGTCTTCGGACGGTAGCCGGAGTCAGAAGAATTCACCTCTTCTTCTAAACTTGTGTCCGACTTGCCATTCGTGTACTCTTCTGTATCAACAAGAACGGACAAAATTAAACATCGCTTAATACGCATGGCAAATTTAATACTTTTATTTATGTCTTTATAATAACTATCGTGAGACATACTAAATTAACTAAAAATCGCGGGTTTCTTACGTGAAAATACTAAGAAAAGCTCTACTGGTTAAGAACACAGAGGGGTTCTTCGTCATGAACCGCGTGCGCGGTCGCGGCGATGTCGCGCAACTTACTAGGCAGTAGGTTCGCAACTAGTAGAACTTTTCTCAATATTTTCCCGTGAGTAACCCACAAGTTTTAGTTACTTTACCTCTATTTAATTCAAATAATACTAAAAATACTAAAATACGTCTATCCCATGAGAGAATAGCAGTGATTATAATTATGACGAATACCAGTGCAAGGCCCTGTCTTGCACATGCTGAACTGGTCCCATTTCATGGCAGACTTGGGACATGAACATGTATCCATCAGTACCTACTAATACAATGACTTATCTGTACATGTCACTTGTTTTTAGTGTGGAACAAAGTTATTTCTTTACATTAACTTAATACCAACATGGTAAAATGATTAAAGTTAAACTTAAACCAACAAGTCAGTAACGTAGCGAACCAAGGATTGAAAACATTTATTGCCCTTTAAATACAGACTATTTCCATTACCCACAACTAGAATAAAATAAGTTCTTTTAGTACCTTTATTAGGCGCAATTTCCACATCACTAGTCGGCGACAACGACTTGTCTTTCTCTTCGCTGCCGTCTTTGGCGGTGGGCGTCGATGTAGCGGTCGGGGTAGTCGCCTGGCCAGATACTGGCGACGATGCTATAAAAATACGGAACCATTTATGTATTTAACTACATTTACTTACAATTATGCAATAATATTATTCTTTCTTCAACGATCGACACATTTTACTAGACTTCTATTCGTGGGCTGCTATGACTGGCCCTTTTTTACACCATATGATTGTAAAAAACTCACAATACCCTTTACTTCGTGTTGTTATCATATTTATAAGTCATTAAAAAAACAAAAAGTACTTTGTATTATAGTAATAGAAATATTTGTGATAAACCAACGCTATTAACAACTAACAAAACACGTTACATATCATATTTAATGAATGCTACTAACTGGCTACTCTTAAATTTTGGTTTTATAAAAAAAAACTTACCAGAGTCAGATTTCGTGAGTCCAGGCACAGCTGGCACTGAGAAGACTTTATCAAATGAGAAATCTTCGTTGCCAGTAGCCGCTGAGAACGGCTTCGGCCCAAGACGAGGCTATTTAAGAAAATTAGTTTTCAATACTTATACGTTAATACAGACGACACATTTGCTCATGCGCAAATAACTTAAATAAAACTTAAATAAAAATATATTAACAAAATAAACACAAAAATAAAACACGCAAAAATAGGAACTCTGAACAAAATAATTTGTAAACAAAATAGCACTAAAATAAAATAAAAACAAAATACACCTTCACTGTCTTAAAGCAAATAAAAACATTGAATAAATAAAAAACACACACAAATGTACTAAAGTCTTGTAGCTCAAACACTCAAACACTACTTTCTTGAAAATACAGTAGCTGTGAAACTATAACTCTCAACTTTCAAGTCAAAGTCAGCATTATGGATAATAAGTCATCATTTTTGTAAGTCAGAAGCCCGAATACTGGAAGGCTATCCCCGAATCACCAACAATCCTTAAACTCCTAATCCCCAAAATGCTGGTAATACACTTGTAACGCCTATGGTGTTCCAGGTGTCTATCCATGGGTGACGGCGATTGCTTACCATCAGGTGATCCGTCTGCTCGATTACCGGCTTATGCCATAAAAAAGACTACTCAATTTTGTTGTACTTAAATATCATGCCATCTCTGTCGTTTTACAAAGAATTTGTAGTGACAGAACTATGGTTAAGCGCAAGTTAAAACTGAGAAGCGTTTGAGTATTTCCGCGAGAGACAATCAACAATCAAAGTTGAATTGTCAGTCATACTATCAATTTCAATCCCGCCACTAAATAAACCAGATCACTTTCATAGTTCATTTAACACATAACTCAGATGATTTTAATTACTTTTACTTCAGCGCTAGGATCGAACTCACGACATAGCACGATACCAACAAAGCATTTATAGAAAAACTGAATAATAATTCAATGCAAGACTTTTCTTCTATAAAAGCAAAGATAGTCTCTTATTGGCAAAAACATGGGATCTTGTAGCAAATCTGTCGACGTCAAGCCAATCAATATACTGAAATGTTGCACAAAAATACAAACATCAACTCTACACTTCAAACCACAAACCTCATGTACCTTGTAGCCAGACCCAGGTACTGTTGTGGTCCTGGGTTTTGGTTTAGGGACCTCCGAATGCTCTTCCATGGACCCTGGCTCCGAAATTGAGGATCTTGGCATCGGTTTTGGAACCTGAACGGGCACTCCATTAATTAAACTGTTGCTCCTCGATAGAGAAGACTCGGTTGACTCCGTACTATCAGTTTTCTCAATGGTCTTTTCGGTCTTTTCATCGTTCTCCTCGGTCTTCTCAGTCTTTTGCGGAATAACGTCTGGTTCGGTCTTTTCTGGTTCAGAATCAATCTTCTTCTCTTGGCAATTATCGTGACCATTATCTGTAATCTTTTTGTGGAAGCCATTTGTTTCTTTCTGATAGTCTACTTTGTTAGATTTTTGTCTTTCCATGCCCTTAATAAGGTCTTTTACGTTGACGAAGTCAATTCGGTCTTCATCTTTTGGTTCTGGTAGTGGTTTTGTTACCGTTTTCACAGGTTCTTCGATCTGAACTGGTGCCGGCGCCGTCTTCTTGGAATCGGTCTTTTTCGGTGGAGGCATTGCCAATATGGCCTTAACCATCTCTTCTAAGTTCCCGCGGTGAATCTAAAAGGAGAACGGCTAATTATTTACTGGTAACTAATAATATAAAGTAATAAAAATATACAAATAGCAGTACTTACGTTACCCTTTTAAGCCCGTAATGTTAAAAAAAACAAGCACCACTCAAAAATAACTAATAAAACTGAAAATAACAAATATCACTGAATAACAAGCATCTATAACTCACCTTTTTTCTATTAGATAAAAACAAATAAAACAATTTTCCCACTCATTCACAAAATAAAATATAAAAACACCATGGGTTAATATCCATGTAAACTATAAAGAAAATACGCAAAACACACCATCTTAAATAAAAATAAAAGGCAAAAAAAAATACTTAAAATTATAACATGCAAAACAATGAAAAATAAATCTACAACAATGGGCATACTCTCGGCTTACTTATCTAATACTTTTCCATTATCAAACTGAAATACTAGCCAAAGGTCTTGCTAAATGCTTACTAGAGATAGAATTCAGACATAAGCTCTAGTACTTATTTACATCAACAGCTTTTTTATGGGATAAGCCGGTAAACGAGCAAACTGATCGCCTGATGGTAAGCAATCGTCGCCCTCTTAGGATTAAGAATTTGAGGATTTTTGGGGATTCAGTGATTGGGGAAGTGGGGGAAGTAATTGGGCGGTGACCTCACTCACACGACACAGCGTTGTTTCACGTCGGTCTTCCATGAGGCCATACACAGCTAACTCTAGTAAGCACATAGGTAGACAGATATTGTTAAAAATGGCCTTAAAATTTGTTTTCTTTTTAAACCGTGTCAACACCCCTATTAAAAAATATTAGTTTCTCTTGCTTCTGTATAAATACTTATGGAACCGAATCGCAATGAATTATGAAATGTTAAGGCTACCTTTATTTCAATCTTCTTCTGAACACATGAGTTTCAAATTGCAACAAAAATACACCTATCAAGTGTTTCTGATGCAGTAACAGTTAAAAACAAATTTTAATGATTCGTTTTTTCGAAGAGTCGACCAGAATCACTGTGATGGTGGAATGACTGGTGATGAATTGACTTGTCGCACAGTCTACACAGACATTTGGTATGCAGGTACGAAAATAAAGATTGATTTTGTAAAGAGACAAATTCAAAATACGAATATAAAAAAATAAATAGAAATAATACTATAATGAAGATCGAGTGTAAAGAGAAAGCAACTATTTATTGACTACTAAGCCAACCAGTGGTTATTAATGATATGGTTTCATTTTAGTTTTTAACTCTGAATTTAAGGTCGATTTTTCAGTTAACAAATAATTCTTAACTGTTGAATAATATTGACATTATCATCGCCATTTTGAATTAACTGACACAAACTGTTCGTTTTTAGTATGGAAGAATTGTCGAAATTTCAAAATTCTTCCTCTAATACAATTTATCTGTTGTCTAGGTTGCCATTAGCTACCGCCTCCATATTAAGTTCATCTTTATCTCCTTACATGCATACCAAATATTTGCGCAGCTAGTCCCCGCCCAGTTTGCCAAAATACCATACCCAGATTTACTGTCATGCTTATTTAATGTCTTAATTCTTTAATTAGGACACCATGGTCGCCTGATCAATTTGCGCAACCAACCATGGTCGTCATAGAGTCGATTTGGTCGCCGACAGCTATGAACCAAGTTCACACCAAATGGTATATCTTATAAATATATCTTGTTGATTGCGCAACTGATTTTGGGACACAGTTTCCTAACCAAATAAGGTCCATATATACCATCTTTCATAAAATGGGAATAATAAAAAGATACTGTTCAACGAAAAAAAACGAAATCCTTTTTAAATAAAAACTATAATCATGCACAACGATATTGAAAGGGCTAATGCATTATCTACCTTAACCCCTTAACTTTCTTTGATTCAAAGGGTGTACTTGAATTGGTGGGCACTAATTAAATTGTCAAACTAAAGTACTAAAGCCCAAATACTGAAAGGCCAATTTAAGTAGTTTGTAGTATTAAGTTGTACTTAAATATCGTGCCATCTCTGTCATTTGACAAAGAATTTGTAGTGACAGAGGTATATTTAAGCGCGACTTAAACTTTAGTGACCTTTGAGTATTTCAGCGTAAGTGCAATAGAGCCACTTACGATGCAAATTAAAAATATAATTTAGGCCAAGGCAAACGTTTCAAAGTACAGATGCCACACGCCGAGTGCGCTACTGAGGCTGGCTAACTATGCTAGGTAAGTGCAATAATAATATTCTGAACCTGCTGCGTTACCCACGAATTCAAAGAGAGCTACCGTTCCTGTGTTCACTAGATCGCTTACTCACAATCAATGGACTTGTCAAAAATTCAATCAAAAATGTAGACCCAATGACTGGACAATAAGCAGATATACTTTATAGTCCTTTTTTCTAGAGACTTAGTGAATTAGGTAGTAAACTCAAATGCGTTAGCCCTCGTTACACCCTGTAGTCAAGGGTTAAGGACGTGTACGCGGCGCAAGTTTCCCCGTAAACTTTCAATTTAAATTCACTCACACGCAATATATCCTTTAAGCAAACAGTTTCACGTTCATTTAAGTTCGTATAAACACTTACAAATGTCCCGCTCTGTCTATTCTTACTTACTTTTTAGACTTTGATATATGCGCATAAGAATTAACTACTTTTACTAAAATAAGTTTAAGTACACGGTGAAGTTTGTGTGAAAACTCGCGCTGCGTACTCGTAAAAGCTCTTTCTTAGGTTAAAAACTAAAATATGTACTGTTTTATGATTGTGACTTACCTGTGTGCCATTATTGGCGTCTGGGTGTAAAGAAATGTTAGGTACTGGGTGGTCTTGGTTATCGAGCCACATCGGAGCACTGAGGTACGTCACTGACCCAGCCGTATCCGGGTACAAATCTGCGTGGTAGTCGCGGTAACTCTGCCAAAGAAAAAATATACCGTCATATCTTTTATTCCTCGGCGCATTATGTAAATTTGCACATGTATGTTATCTACTATATATAAATAAGCCGGGTTTTCCTTCCTGACGCTATAACACAAGAACGCACAAACCGATTTCCACGGTTTTGCATTCGTTGGAAAGGTCTCGGGCTCCGTGAGGTTTATAGCAAAAAAATTTTTCTTTATGTTTTAATCACCAAACGAAATGTTACATAAAACGGAGTTTGCCGGGTTTGCTAGTTGGATATAAAACTCATTTTCGTCGCATGTCGTAATAGATATTCTCATTTTTTAACCGACTTCAAATTACGCGGTTCTCAATTTGATCTGCATGTATGTTTAAGCGTGATTATCTTATGATTGGTTGAACCGATTTTGATGTAACATAACATAACATCACGCCTTTTATCCCCGAAGGGGTAGGCAGAGGTGTACATTATACCACTGTACAATGTAACACCCACTTTTCACTATTTATGTTATGAGTCCCATGTAATAGGGGGTGAGCCTATTGCCATATACCGGGCACAGTTCCAGACTCCGTGCTACTATTGAGATTTTTAAAAAATCCAGTAATACTTTGCCCGACCCGGGATTCGAACCTGAGACCCTTTGCCCGGCAGTCGCACTTACGACCACTCAGCCAACTAGGTAGCCGATTTTGATGTAGTTTTCCGAAAAGTGTTTTACACTTAAGAGAAGGTTTTAGTATATTAATCGACTTAAAAAAAGAAGGGCTTGAAGTCGGTTTTATAAACGTAGTCTATACAACAATTATTATTTTTAATTTTAATAATAGATAGTCCTACTCGACCTGTGATGTGATATAACTTTGCGATCTCAATACCAAAACTTGTTACGCACAGGTCTATATAAGACTGCTCTACTGAGGTAAAGTGTTTTTGGTATGGCGCCGGCTATTTTTAACCACATTCCTAATTTAATAAAAAAAGAACCAATGACAATTTTTAAAAGAAACTTACTACATTCTTGTTAAACAAATGCTATTTCTCTGTGTCTGATTATTTAGCTGATAAATTGTAACTGTCAGAATATGTCTGATGATGAACCTGTATCAATGTTTGCATGCCAAAAATGGTAGAATGTACAATGACATCTTAAACTGTCAAATACCAAGCGGTCACCGGTGACCGCAACCTATTGTTCTATAATTGTGTCTACAAAACCGGTACTCGACGAGTTAATAGTGTTTTAATATCACCTTATTGTAAATACCTGCACTCTGAGCAAATAAATAATTATTCTATTCTATTCTATCCTGTGAGTCAAACCCCGAGACCTTTTGCTCTGTTGTCGCGCTTTCGACCACTCAAAGATAGTAATAATAATGAATATATGGACAACATACCTTTCTCGGCACTTGATACATAATAGGCACGACTGATGACCCAGCCAGTTGTAGAACTCTGTTCACTTCGCCTTCCATCACGCGAAGAGCTCGCTTTGGTACTAAGCAAGCACCCTTGGTTTGTTCACCTATGACATGACGATAATGACTTAAACCAATCAAATACATAATTAAAACATTTTTACAAGTCAATTTACTTCACTTTTTATACATTAAGTGTGGGAGAACCATGCTTCAGCTCGACCGGAGTGATACCACGGCCTCACAGAACACCGACGTGAAGCAACGCTTGCGTTGTGTTTCGTCGTGTGATAGAGGTTACCGGAGGCCCAATTACGAGCTGAAGAGTTTGTTTGACGCCCTAATCTCAGAAACTTCAAGTCCGAATTGAATCGTTCTTTCTGTGTTAAATAGTCCATTTATCGAGGAAGATTATAAGTTATAAATCATCACGCTACGATCAATAGGAACCGAGCACAGCGCGTAAATACGCTTCGGAGTAACTAGTGCGAAATAACACGATTATCTACCACATTTCATTCGTGAATTTTTTTCATGCTTTGCCAAGCCCGCCACAACCTCCCAAAACCGCTGCAACTCCTGTAAGCCAGGATCTACAGTAGATACAACCATGAAAACACCAGAACACTGAAGCCCGAACTGAGTAGCTGTCTTGGTTCCCGCAACGAAGCGAATCAGAAGATATTATAAGAGGAGAAGAAGAAGAAACGATAGTTTCCACTTCCCTCGGTGAATTACTGCAGGAGATAGAATGAATTAAGCCTAAAAGCAGAAAGAAGAGACTGTACAACTGGGTGAAGCCCAATTCATGCTTTGTCAATGAATAAGGATGATTTTCATTTATCTTTCTAAAGTTTGAAAATAAACAGGTTTGCAATAATTGATTTAATGTTCGTAGTACTTACCGGAATGTCTCAATCCTTCAATGAGGTAAGGTTCCCTGTCCGTAAACTCCATGTACAAGATCGTAGTATCTCCCTTCCCAGCCAGGAACAACATGTTGGTGTCAGGATCGAAGAGTGGCATCAGGATCCCAGTGGAACAGTCCAGCTCCAATGTCTTCTGCGTTTGTGATAAGTTGCGGATATCACGGATCATTATCTGACGAAGACGGGCTGAATCGAAACCTGTTGAAATAGAAGGAATTAATTTGAAAGAACAGACTGCCGAAGTGCCGTACAGTGATGACAGAGATGTAATAGGGGGTGAGCCTATTGCTATATACCGGGCACAATTCCAGACTCCGTGCTACTACTAAGTTTTTTTTTAAACCCAGTAATACTTTGCCCGGGCATCGAACCCGAGACCCCTTGCCCGGTAGTCGCATTTGCGACCACTCGGCCAATGAGGCAGTCATCATATTACTAGAAGTAAAGGTCTGAAGAACTTACCAGTAGTCAGTATTCTATCCTGATCTCCAAGCCACACAATCCTGCTGTCTTTAATGTTCTGGTGGCTGTTAGCAACGTCCACTACAGCGGCGGCCGCCCTCGGATCTATGATGCGGACCTTCTTGTCCTTGCAAGAAGTCGCCAACAGCTTGCCATCCTTCTTCCACGAGGTAGACTGTATAACCTCACCGTGATCTCTGTTCACTGTTACAATAAAATTATATTATTATTATTAGTCAAATTAAGTTTATTGTTGAAGAAGAAAAACTAAAGAGTTCGCGAAATTTTATCGGAACCCTGAGTATGGGCAACTACACAACTCCTATTAAATAAATGGTTACCTATAATAGTGTAAATAATAAATAGTGGTATTGAACAAACGGTTTACGTTTATTTGCGTCAAGAGTTGAAAATATTCTCTCACAGAAATCTCGTGTAATATTTCTTTATCTTCTTAAATTTTTCACAGGTTTCACTTGCACTGATCATGATGGTCTGGTGTATCGTGAATGGTGACTGGTTTACTGGGATTTAACCTTTTGACTGTCGGCATATAAGACACAAAAGAGTAACTTAAGAGTACTTTTTATCTCGCGTGGATCTCGCGTTCCCGACACGGCAAGTTAAAGTAGTTGTGCTAAGCCAATATGTAGCGCATTCACGATACAGGATAAAAAAGCTGTGGGGGTAAATAAACTTACCAAAAGCCTCTTTCTGCTTAGTAAGATCCCAAAGAGCGAGTTCATGGCCCGAAGCGACGTGTATCAGACCATCAGCCACCGGGTGGAAGCCAACATTTTCAACGCGACGCTGTTTCTGAGACAACGTACACTCCGGAGTCGACAGAGACTCCTTCAAACCTTCTGGTGGAATGTGCCATATTTTTACCTAGAACCGAGAAATTAATACAAATTATTTGCGAAATTCTACTAAGACTAAGGGACTATATATTTAACAATGACTGAGCAGCAGCGCTGTTTGAAAACCTGAAGTATTTAAACTGCACTCTCCAAGCGGCTTTGCGGAGACTATATAATTATAGATGGTAAATCTCTTTTATGGTAGATGCGATCCATAGTCCATTAGTGTACTGTACGGACTGCTGATGTGATTCGATATTCAAATACACCCTTCGGTACGAAATTAAGGCAGGTATATGATAAATAATAGACTCGGTACGGATAATAACTTCAGATGTTTTTATAACAACTACCGTGAGAGACACTAAATTAACTAAAAATCGCATCCTACTGAGGCGAGCTTACAGCCTACGTAGGCTGCGCGACATCGCTGCAACCGCGCACGCTGCATGAGGAAAAACCCCTCTGTGGGTCGAAACTAGTAGAACTTTTCTCAGTATTTTTAAGTGCGTAACCCGCCATTTTTAGTTAATAACTTCAGATGTTTTGGCTATTTTATTCAAGTAAGCTCCGTTGAGCATGCTCTGGTTTACCAGACGGTCATGCACGACTAATTTGAAGCCAAAATCTAACATTGGTAGACTTAACGTTGACTGTCTGTGAGTCCCAATTGTGTACATATTTCTAGAAATAAAAAGATAATAAGAAATAAGAATGTTTTTTTTGCACGAAGTATGGTAATTACAGGTGATAATGATTATAAAAATAGTCCCACATACATCGCCTACTGTTTTCGGCATGCTAAGTTAGATATTACAATTAATAAAGTTAACATGTTACAAATAATAGGAACCAATTACAAAAATGCTTACAACTATTACTAGCACCTACAGCCATAAAATGTATTATTCAGTAATCTAATCTCATGTTCAGTTATGCTTCGTTGTCGGTGTGTGTGTTCACGGGTTCACGCTAAACCAACAAATAAACTAAATACGACAAAGGAATATTAGTTTCCTAAACGATTTTGGTTACGGGGACCATTCAACTAGCCAATTTGCCGGACAATTATAAAGCAAAATTAAGTAAATGTGCAAACTACAAACACAAGTGCGCTCATGGTCCGATGGGACGGCAATCCGACACGACCGGAAAGAGATCAGATGCAGCGCCGGTCTAACGTGCTGACCAAGACAAGGAACAAGCGACAATCAATGTGTAATAGACGTAAGTTATAAAGAGCGTGTTTTAGTTTTAATCATTCCACTATCATCACTAGAGACCGGATAATATGCAACATAAAAAGCTTGAAATATGCATGCAAATATGCATGAAAAATGCCTAAAATATGCACGAAAACTGACAGAATATGCAACATTAAATGAGTTTTTTTTTGTTTTGTAAATATTATTCCTTTAGATTTAGGTATTTTGCGACGTGAACACTTGTCTTGACATGTTGGTCTATTTGAAACTTTTTAGTGCACGAAATGTTTTTCTCACAAACTCGACAATATAAAACATTTCCGTCGTAAGTAAATGTTCTAGAAAATTCACTTATCCACGAAGACACACTTTTTTTTTTCGGGAGGCATTGTACACACACAAAAACTTTTAACTGCAGGTGAATTATCCGAGCACGAGCGTGTCAACAATCAAAGTAATAATGACATGCATAATAGGTACCTACCAAAACAAAATACGCGCGGCTGCCGAGTGCGCTACGCTCGAAAAATACCTACCTACTGTAAATTATAGCAATAATATGCATCATCACTAGATATTAGTAAAAATATGCTATTAGCCTTGAAAATCGCTTAAATATGCAAATGCATATGCAAATATGCAAATGCATATTATCCGGTCTCTAATCATCACTATTGTCTGCCTTCCTTACCACCATGTCAAATATAATTGGTTAGGTGCCTACTTCAAAACGAGGACTCAGGCGTTTTTATAACATCACTAGCGACCCGCCCCGGCTTCGCACGGGTGCAATATGCATGTATTATACATATAAACCTTCCTTAAGAATCACTTTATCTATTAAAAAAAACCGCATCAAAATCCGTTGTGTAGTATTAAAGATTTAAGCATATACATAGGGACAGACAGACGGCGGATAGCGACTTTGTGTTATATGTACTACCTATGTAGTGATTGTCGTTTCTATCATCCCTAGATGGACATAATATGTCCGTCTCCGTCAATTAAATGAAGAAGTAAATCATAGTACACGATCCGTTCAAAGTATACTGCTAGGTACACTTATTCTACGATTGTCGTAATTAACGCATTGAAACAAGCCAATTACAAATGTAGAACATTTTCCTGTAACCATAACTATTATACGTCTAATAATAACAATGCGATTAAGATACACAATTACAGCATTTGAATTATTTATGCCTATACCAGGCCAGCTCCAATGCCGCTATGGCAATGATAGCTAATAGAATCAGTCCCTGCATGCGTCATTGCTTGCATATTGACTTTATGTTTTATTTTTATTTTATTTTAATTCCATTTCATTTTATGGTTTTAATGGCATGTGATTGTAAAAATGTAATTTTAATTTATTTGTTTATTTTATTTAATGAACAATGTAACAATATGGGTTACGATGACCTGAAATAAAAGTTTTTTTTTTTATTTATTTTTTACACAAAATATAAGAAGAATATTCAAATGTTTCTTCTGCCCAATTTTTGTTGGTCAGGATTGAATAAGCGGTTTAATTTCAATATTTTAGACTTACTAAAAATAAAGTAGGTGTATTAAATTTCGACCACCGATGCTTGAGATCGCTTCCAGCCGACCGATAAATAAAGCCAAGCTATTCAAATCGTTGCATTTACCCAGTAAATGAAAAAATAAATGTCTTTTTTGGGAGAGTGCCCCTGGAATCAAATCTTTTCCTCGACAGTCGCGTTTCGCTACAAGCAAAACCATGATCGGAATTCGGTCAGGAGGACATTATCGCAAAAGTATTACACCATAGAAATGTGCATCCATGACAAATGTTATCTGTGGTACAAATTCCGTGTACAAAAGATAAGAGCGACATTTTATCGACTCTATATTTATCTCTTTTTATAGAGGTACATAATAAATAATTTCATTTCATTTTATTACTATTACTAATGGTTTGAGTAATGGTTCACAATAATAAAATCTTTCTTTCTATGAGACCTCTTGTCAGACATACTAAATTAACTAACTATCTAACTCGTCGAGTACCGTCATTATAGACACAATTATAGAACAATAGGTTGCGGTCACCGGTGACCGCTTGGTGTTTGACAGTTTAACTAATGATTTACTCATGTGAATTCATTGAGAAGACTATTTTGAATGAATATGTTACTTATCCCTAGAATTTGTCTCATTAATTTTAATGGTTGGCCAGTCTTAGTTAGATTTGACCATTTCCAACATCAATATGTATTTATTTAAGTCTAAAGTGTATAATTTAGGTGCAAACAATTTTGCAAACAGTTTTAACATCTATTAACTTTTCAGTCAACTTCATTATTAGGCCCAATTGTTTGAGACTCACTTTTTACCCCACACAGGTCTTAGAAATTTTTCATACCAAAAACATGCGAAGAATGATTCGAACTGCATAAATATTGAGATAATTAGTGAAATAAAAATTACTATCAGACACATAATCCTTATATATATGTTCATATCATTAAATTGTAAATTGATAAGTCTGCTTACACTCTTATAAAAGAAATGTAAATCTTTTTTAATTTTATCCATCTAAAGTCTGAGCATTAATAGAAATATTCAAGTCATCTTAGCTAAAATATTGCCGTTGGAAAGTCAAAATCTAGTTTCCACACTTCAGCGAATATTTAGGTCTATGTTAATGTGTGCACATGTACAGAGCAAATATCATCTCGAGCCAAAATATTTTTAAAATGTTATTGTTGGTATGTTTTTTAGGTAGATCTAGCCCTTATACCCTTTTAATAAGATTTTAATTACAATATAATATATTGATACATTTCTTGAAAGCTATGTTTAATTTTCTTTTTCATTCAAGTCCATCTTGAAACAGAAATATTAAAGGATATTTTAAGGGTTGTATGTACTTAGTAATTTTTTCCTTTTTATGCAAACATGGCTTGTGTATTCACTATTGTCTTAGTTTATTCAATTAATGCGGTACCAATTTTTAAGGCATGGCTATTTACTAGTGTTAAACAAAATTGAGTAAAGTAACAGATGAAAATAAACTACTTACCCTGCAAATACATTGCTTTTTAAAATGGCACAGATAAGGTATCACAAACAGAGAGCAGAAAATAGTTAAATTAAATAAGGTGATGAAAATAACAATTAAACATTGCTTACCAAGGAATCCTGTGAACCTGTGAGCAGCAAGCCATCATGGAAGGGTGAAAACTCCATGTCAGTTATGGTGTCAGAATGTGCGTGCAGTAGAGGCATCGTCTTGCTCTTCCTCCCACAGTCATCCAGGGGCAGGACAGCCATGCTCGACCCAACATGCTCCCAGTTGAAAGCCATGAAGGCAGCAGATGCACAAATGTTGTTCCCATAAGTTTGATATGATCCAACACAAATGTCCCGAATACATGCCTCTGGCTTAGGCACAATCGGTGCCGCATTTTTATACTTAGAGGCTTTGAAACGCCAAGCCATGATTATCCACTTTTTAAAAAAAGTTTCTCAGTCTTTAAATTTGGAATGTATGAGGTGTACTAGTCTGAAACAATTTTTTTACGATATTTTAATCACCAAATACTTTTTTATAACTCAAAAGCGACTCCTACATTAAGTTACGGTATTTTTAGCCGACAATAAATATTTCACGTACACTAATTACATTTCTAATTAGAAAAAATCAGGCTACTTAGTATAGATAGAGCATTTCTTTGTACCGAAATCACATATAGAAATTGTAACAGAAAATACGTTTTTTTATAAAACTTCTATGATGAGTCTAAATATAGAATGAAATTGCTTTACAACACCTGAAATTCCTGAATGGAAAAGTACAAAATACCGTAAAAACACCTTTTGTTTTGAATAACTCGGCCGGCTGTCGCACCGGATACTCTTACAACAGTTATTGAGGCAGAGTTTTGGGATACAGTTACATTGTCCATTACTTTAGTTATCGTAATAAATAAATATTATGTGCGACTACTTACCTTATCTGGTAAAAATTACTCAGAAATTCGATTTCCGCTAGACACTCCCCCTAAACGTCGGCCATTTCAAAAGCGACATTAGAGTGGATCGATAAATAATATAAACATAATAGTCGATGCCGACCGATGACATTTCAGATAAAATAGTTCATTATTTACAAATTCCCATTTTAAGAATTTTAGATTACCTTTTATTATAATTACCCAATTACTCTTTTTTTTTAATTATAATATTATAGGCAACTGATAATTTGGTATTAAAACAATAATTATCGTTTAGTCGTCTCTCGCCAACAGCGTTTTAGTAACTTTTCACAACACTACGCTCAACAGCTGCAGCTGCTGTTTCATTTTACGCAGTATTGTTTGAATACATTTTCCGCGCGCCTCTAGCGGCATAATTTAGAAGTTGTCCAAGAACGACATTATGTTTTCGAGTTGAGGTTAATAACGTAAATAATCAAATGGATCACGATTACATAAAGAAACCTGTTTTAAAAAAAAGCAGAAACACAAAATATTGTTGCGTTCCTCAATGTAATACTTACGGAGGTTCGGGAATAAGTTTTCATTTATTTCCAAAAGACATAATTATGAAAAATAAATGGAAGACTGCTCTAAGAATAGGCAAGCCGATTTCAACAGCAATGAGAGTTTGTTCTCATCATTTTCAAGCTTCAAACTATTTTCCAAACAGTTAGTATAATTTTGTTTTATATGATACTCACATGTATTTATTAAATTATTTATTTACTTTAGGCTAAGGCGAGTTTTTCGTCAGATAACGAGATCATGTTTATTGTTCCAGATTCTAAAAGACAGAAGTTGTTTCCTAATGTCGTACCTTCTCAGAATATTCCTAAAATAAGCCCATTAGTTAAAAAAATTAAATTAATTGCTCGAGAAAATAGGGCTTATATCAGGCACAGGAAAATAGTTGTTTCAAAGAAAGATCTAGGACTAATTAATAAGGATGAAACAATTGAAGTTGAGGATGGCTTTGAGGACAATAATATAACTGATAAAAACAGTCATCATCATGTCATGACTTCATCGACACAAGTCAATTTGGTGGATTACAGAACTTATCGTCCTCGAGATGGTTGGAGTATAGCCGACCATCTTTGTGACAAAGAACCTTTGGAAAAGTGTACTCAAATAAATTTTCTTCCTATATGGAAAGAGGAAAGATCAGCTGTTAAGCAATTAAGCGTCTCATTTACACAGCAGTGATATCATCGGTCTAATTATCAGAACTTGTAACTCTTTTTACATAAATTTTACAGTGGCAAGGAAAATATGATAATTTTGGTTACTTTTACTAATAATTAATTCATGAGTGTTAATTAAATTTAGGATAAAAGTATTAAGTGAATTAAATTTCAGACCAGTTTAGAAAAAAAACTTATTGAATTAATATAAAAATGGAGATACGAACTTTTCTATGAAGCTGATATGCAGTTACATAGTTATAAACAGGCTTATGGCTTTTAAGATAGTTTTTAGCTTAATGCAATAAACAAAACTACACAATTATTATAGAAAAAAAAAACATTTATTGTTTCAATTCAAAATAAAATCAAAATTTAAAACTTTTTCACTTGCAATCCAACCACTTTTATTAACAAATTTAGAATATACTCTTAACACTTTCTCAGGATAACAATACTCTAAATATTTAATCTAATAAAAAAATAACGAAACTATTATTCCGCAAAGCACATCACAGCAATCCGTCTTATATTCTACAATAATAAAATAATGTTACCTATGAACAAATCTATGATAAAACTTGTACTCCTACCTATAATGGCACAAATCACTCTCAAGTTTAATATTAAACTGTCAAACACCGCATGGTCACCGGTGACCGCAACCTATTGTTCTTTAATTGTGTCTATAATAATGGTACTCAACGAGTTAAATTGAGTTAAGGATACAGTTCTAAAAACTTTAAGTAATCTATTACAAAAAAAACACTAATAGTATGAATTAAAGGAAATTCAATAATTAGGAATTAATGATGGGGTAAACTATCATAAAACTGATGATAATCTTTTTCCAAAATATGTTTCAGGGCTTGGAAGATCTAGGTATTTTCATTTTATATTTTGAGCCTTGCTGAATTCAACTGAGGAATGTCATCCCATGGAATGAAAGAAATTTTTTGAATCTAATAGGGAACTGTACCCCTGCTGTATTTGAATGTCGTAATTTGTAAACAATCTTACCATCATCAGGATTATACTTCAAAGCCCTTAGATTTATTACTTTTGGGTCACCTGTCTTCTTCCCAGGTCTAATCGTTTAATAAAAAAATGAAAACTGCGTTTAAAAAAACCAACTTCAAAAACAAAAACAAACGAAAAGTAAAAATCAAAAAATAACTATTATTGGTCATAAGTACTCTCATCAATACAAATTAATCAAACACAAGATAGCTACTGTTAACCATTGAGGAGTTCCCTCAACTATCGTACTACTTCATCGTCAGACCCTTATTGGCCTTTATCACATACCACCTAGGTATAAAGTCCTCATCAATACAAATTAAACAAACCCAAACACAAGATAGCTACTGTTAACCGTTGAGGAGTTCCCTCAACTATGGTAGTACTTCATCATCAGTCCCTTATTAGCAATGACATACCACCTAGGTATAAAGTCCTCATCAATACAAATTAATCAAACCCAGACACAATGTAGCTACTGTTAACCGTTGAGGAGTTCCCTCGACTGCCTATCGACTCCATCATCAGATCAGTTCCAGACCATTAACGAAAAAATTAACAAATGCACTACTAGTCGCCCCTATATTTTTTAAAAGTTCCTCTCGGTTTCCCTGGGATTCCATCATCAGATCCTGACTTCATGACAATGGGACCAAATGAGACGAACCTACCCTTCCAAAGAAAACAAGAATTTTTGAAATCGGTCCAGGCGTCTTCGAGTACAACCGTTGAGGAGTTCCCTCAACTATGGTAGTACTTCATCATCAGTCCCTTATTAGCAATGACATACCACCTAGGTATAAAGTCCTCATCAATACAAATTAAACAAACCCAAACACAAGATAGCTACTGTTAACCGTTGAGGAGTTCCCTCAACTATGGTAGTACTTCATCATCAGTCCCTTATTAGCAATGACATACCACCTAGGTATAAAGTCCTCATCAATACAAATTAATCAAACCCAGACACAATGTAGCTACTGTTAACCGTTGAGGAGTTCCCTCGACTGCCTATCGACTCCATCATCAGATCAGTTCCAGACCATTAACGAAAAAATTAACAAATGCACTACTAGTCGCCCCTATATTTTTTAAAAGTTCCTCTCGGTTTCCCTGGGATTCCATCATCAGATCCTGACTTCATGACAATGGGACCAAATGAGACGAACCTACCCTTCCAAAGAAAACAAGAATTTTTGAAATCGGTCCAGGCGTCTTCGAGTAATCGAGTAACAAACATTATAAAAAAAAAAACATAGTCTAATTGAAAACCTCCTCCTTTTTTTGAAGTCGGTTGAAAAGTTAATGTATTCTCGACATCTTTGAACAAGTTATGGTAAATATACTGGACTTCATAAGGACTTATTTTTGCAGGCCACCTTTGCTATATATGCATACTCCACTGGAATATTAATTTGTTTGTGTTTTATCGCCCTCTCAATAACGGAGTGCATACTCCATTTGTGTGTGACCCTTTTCAAGGTACTTCTGAGTGACTTTCCTTAGTTATTCGCGTGTCAGTTACGATAAATTATATTTTTTGTCTCTTAAAGATGCTCTCTCCCTATAGCAGCACGGGGCCATCTGTTATGTTGCTGACATGAAGGGTGGTGCCTCCTGATGGGAGACTTGGTGAGGACGTAAGGGAATGAGAGGTCAATCCCATCATCCCTGCTCGCTGTAGGTTGTCCACCTTCATTTCTAGGTTGTGCAGCCTTTGCCTGTCCTGTTGTGCCTGTTCGTGTATCACTGACACCTTTGCGAGTATTTCTTTCTGTGTTTTCTGTGTGCCTATCAAAAGTGTATAAAACCAGCCTCCTGCATCTTGTGTCGGTGGGTCCTGGGGTTTTGGTTCCCGAGAGGAAAGCTGCCCCATTTCCACATCATCTTGCCACCTTCCACAGGGGGGACATCTGGGACCTTTGCTTTCTTTTTCGACTTGCTTGGAGCCCCTTCTTCTGATCGTCTTCTTGCTCTTGTGGTTACACCTGGTGTTTGTAGTGGTGCCTTTTGGCACTGAATGCAAATTTAACTTTAGCCCATTGCCCCACGTCTCAAATTTCCGTTCCATCGGCAGTTAGGGATCCCATGAGCAAGAGAGCTCTAGTGTTTATATTGACTCGTGTGAACTATACTCTGCTTTGTATCGACTACTTAAACGACTTTAGTCTCATCTTATGTGCGTAATTACAAGGTGGTTAAAAAATACAAATAAATATATCCAAAGTGATTTATTATATTCCGAGTATTACAATAATTCAATTTCTTTGGTGAGGATTAATTTCAATATAATTATAATCAATGTTATATGGAGAAATATTTATTCAATTAGATATTTCAGATCCAATAATTGTGCAACCAGCCACAAACCAACATTAAACTGTATCTGACAAATACAACATTATAAAAAAAGCATAAAAATACGCAATTCATAACATTATTTAAAATATATTTATGTATTTTAATAATTAAAATATAGCGATGTCAACTAGATAGGCAAGAGTGGCCGACAAAAATAAACTTTATATTGCACAAAATTACAAACAACATGAAATATACAACTTTAATATAAAAATCATTAAAAACATCAAGTGCATTATACAGTTATGTGTGATGTTTAGTATAAAAATTAACATATAAAATTCTAAAATAGGCACCTACAACAAGAAAATAAATATAATTGTTTAACACTAACGAATTACTAAAACACTATTGTGTAGTTTTTATGATAAACTAGCAAAATTATAAAATGTACAATAACATATTGTGTGTGTCTAGTCAAACTGTATTACAAAAAAAATAAGAGATCACATCAGCAACATTTCTTGAATAAATAAAAAATATGAAGAAAATACAACAATTTATTTATATCTATTCCATATAAAAATCAACTGCTGCATTTGGAATGTAACATGAACTGGTCTTAATCTATTATATATGAACATTATTGACTTCATTAAACTATTATTTTTCAGAAATGAAATTGAAGTTCTTGCTATGTTGGGAACATGTTAAAGTTGAAGCATGTAAATGCTAACAGAACAAAAATAGCTGTTACAATTATATAGTGAATAACTCAACACATACAAAATAAATTTCAGTACTATGGGAGATCCTTTCCATGTTCACATGTACACTTCAATTTCATTCAAAACATGCATATTGTCCTGTAGTAAGACAGTCTCTGATTCTGTAATTCCTGTGACTATCAGTTCTAACATTGGAGTACATTAAAATCTAAGTAATTGTCTACAAAATAGTATTTCAGTAACATTACCCTACATTATCTAGTAACCACTCCGAGAGACGTTCTAAGCCCTCTCACATTGTGTAAAAATGCTTCAAAATAAAACCAAAATGTTTGAAGTGAAATGAAATTCATAATACCTACTTTAAAATAAAGTTAAGTACAATATCAATACTGGTTTGATTATTATAAATGTTTGCCCTTTAAGTATTAGAACATAAAGTTCTAAGATACTTACAATCAAATGATAGAATTAATCAATAACAATAATCAATGAAAATTTTACTTTGCAACACTTTTACAAACAATTTGGGCAATAGGTACTAAGTTATTATAATAATAACAAAAGTTGCAAACAGCAAATTGTTTACTACATTGAAACAATGTCATGACTGTCCTGACGTTACCAGCGCAGAACGAGCGACAATCTTTGTCAGTCATCTCATCAGACAATTGATTTAAAACATGCAATTATCACTAATTACATCTTAATATGATATAATATAAACCAATTAACTCCACGCTACCTTCCTTCACACGAAGATACTACTTAGTTTGAAACCCATTTATTCTTAAACTGTCAAACGCCGCGAGGACACCGGTGTCCGCACACCTATTGTTCATTAATTGTGTCTATAATGACGGTACTCAACGAGTTAATTATAAATCAATCTAAGATCGAATACTTATTGCGACATTGATTTTAAACGTCTTAATTCAGTAAAACACGCAATCGATTAATCGACTAAATTCTTATTGATTTTGGTCTTCCTCTATCGTATCAACGGTCTTTTTTTCAAGAGGACGCGACTATGACGTCGTTTTCAGTTATTTTGCTGTCAATTATGATTGATGTCTTATTTTTACAAACAGTATATATATGTATAAGCTGTCGCTCGAGTATCTAATATTTTAATATAAACCCACGTGGCATGCACCCATGTATGTTAAGTAGTATTAAAATTAGAAATTACAATAATATTATGAATTTCTCATAAAAAAAAACTGAGATAGATACCTGACAAAGATTTCACTATCTACACTGTCGTCCATATAACGTTATATTATTATGTATGTGTATACAGCCAATCGCACATCAGTAATAATACATGGTTAAAGTCAACCTTACTGCTTAGAACATAATATACTTAAGACTAAACAATACGGTATTTGACAATTTTTGGAAATCGTTTTAAATGGTTGTTTTAGTATATAATATACGTACAAAATTAATCTTACTGCAAAATTTACAGTATTTAGGATAAACATCGAAGTTACAATTTAAATTGTAAAAAGCGCGGCAGAAACGATTTCATTGTAATGGCTCGAGTCACGTGACGCGTGTGACGTCACACGCTAGTACAACAATCCATCTTGCTTGAATATTCAAAGGTATTGCTTGTTATTAAATCATATTTCAGTATTTATTAGAAATTATGTCTTATAAATGGTGTGTAGTGCCACAATGTACAAATACATCAATAAAAACACCGGAAAAAGTATTTTTATCTGTTCCTACGAATCCCAAAAAACGTAAATTGTGGTTACGGTTGGCGCGAAGAGAGCCAAACAGTGTCTCGATGCGTACAAATATTTTTATGTGTGAAGATCACTTTAATGTAAGTAGCACTTAACTTTATACTTAATAGATAGTACCTATCTATTTTCTAATGTTATTTTTGTTTCCTGAGCTACTCATTAGTCTTGTCAAACTTAGTCTAAATAACTTTTTACAACATGAATACTTCACTTGTTTACTTTATTTATTAATGGATATCAATGTGAATTTCAGTTGGAAACAGCCATAAAGAACTACATGATGTACAAAATGGGCTTCAATCAGAAGATGCTTTTGGCAGATGAAGCTGTGCCAACAAAATTCGATTGTCAAGAGGATCGCAAAAGACGGTTGTCTGGTGGACCTTCTCGAGACCTGCCCATAAAGAGACAAAAAAATGATATCGTCACAGAATGCTTACAAAGTTTAAGTGCCACTAAAACCCATGCCGAAATGCTTCAAGAAGACAATTATGTGCCACAAAACGTTATTGAGCCTGAAGGTATGGTACAACTAAATTTTATTTTCCATTACAAATTGAATCAGTAAGATTGTATAATAAATGTTGGATGTTTGTATTTTCAGTATTACCAAGGACTGCAGATAAAGGAATGTGTACAGATCCTATAATTGCTGTAGAAAAGTCTGTCCAAGTGTCAATGAAATCAAATGTGCATTATAGGAGCAAAGCTATACAAACTAGAAACAAAAATAAAAGTATTTCGACATCACCATTCAAAGTGTCCACAACATCGAGTTACACTTCACCTTTTAAATATGAACAATGCAGTCTTCAACGGTTACAGTCAGGAGTTGTAAAAGCAGCTAAAGAAGTTGTTGCCTTAGAACGTGATAAATCAGATAGTGAAATTTCAAGCATTAAGAGTGGTTATTCTTCACCTTTTGTACCTACATCATCAAAGATTACAGATTCTGATAGTTATACTACGGATACTAATTCCACTGTTCATCAACTGCAGTGCCTCAAAAATACCCTACATTTAATTAAAAAAAAACCATTAATGTATGTTGGTATTACTGAACATTGTTATTTTATTATTCAGTTAATGCACAAACACACAAATATAAAAGTAGAACACATTTTGCTATGCTTGAAAAAAATTAGACTAAATAGCACATTTTCTGAATTAGAGGATAATTTTGGAATGTCACTATCATATGCCAGTAAAATATTTTTAAATAACATACCCATATTGAGTAGCTTTTTGAGACCATTTATTGTAAATTTAAACAGTAACTTAACAAAGAGAAATCTTCCAATACCATTTAGACATAACTATCACAATGTCAGCTGCATTATTGATTGTCTTGAAATTGATATACAAAAACCATCTAAGGCTCTACACCAGGCTCTGACATGGTCAGAGTACAAGAAGGGAAATACTGTGAAGTATTTAATATCCTGCACTCCTAATGGATTAGTCAACTATGTTTCTCAAGGCTTTGGGGGCAGAACGAGTGATGTTGTAATAGTAGAAAACACTGACTTTCTAGATAAATTACAACCTGGAACTTGCATCTTAGCGGACAGAGGCTTCAAACACCTAGAACAAATACTTCATAGTAAAGGCATTAAACTATTACGGCCGCCTAGTGTAAGTGCTGGTGTAAAGTTATCCAAATCTGAAGTCCGACAAACTAAAATAATTGCAAGCCTGCGAATTCATGTGGAAAGAGTAATAAGGCGCTTGAGAGAATTCCACATGCTAAAACAACATACAGTGATAAACACCAACATACTTCGTATAATTGACCATATAATTATTATTGCATGTGCTTTAATAAATTTGCAAGACTCTCTTATTAAGTAATGTTTTGTATATTAATATTATATCTTCCTAGAAATACTAAGTAAAGAAAAAATTAAGAAAGAATATCTTACTAAATGTGGCCTTTTGGCTCTGTCTACCTCTGATAAGGATGTGATGTATGAATGTTATCTTTAAGAAGGAAAGTTGTTTGTTTGCATTGAATAGGCTCCAAAACAACTAACCACAGCTCAAAGTGCTTGCCAAGACAATTAATCAAACAAGTCAAATCACAATCAGTGCATAGGTATTATTATATATTATTATGTACACATATTTAGTTAAATTAAATAAAAGTTAGTTAAATTCTTTCATCTTGGGATAGATATGTTACATAACACACTTTTCACTGAGAGCAATGAATGTAGCAAAAACTAAAGGCATGGGGACTTCTAGTGTAGTGTATGTATTTGTAAGTTTTATAAATAAATGTAAATACCTATTGAAAAATAAATAAAACAATGTGCACAGAAAACATTTTTATTTATTAATCTGTCACCCTAGTGCTACGGTACAAAACTGGATAAACATTATTTTTCCAAAAAGTAACCAGCTTTTGCAGTAAATTATGGGTATAAGCACTATCATAATGCACTAAAAGAATATCCACCTTTTGGTTCTCTTCAAATTTGCTATCTGCAACACAGAAATAGCATTTTTTCATGCTAGTTGCATGCATTTGTAATTGCACCTGTGCATTAAATTTTTCTGTAATTACTCCATTTTTTATATAGTTCTCTTTGGTTTTAGCCTGAGTAGGGCATTTTATTTCAATAACAGCATCCTTTGTTAGGCCATCAGGAGATGCTGCAATCATGGGACTCTCATTACATACGTAAAGTCCACATATACTTATTTTTTTGTTCAATATGGAAGCAACTTTCTTTCGGACTGCCTTTTCTAAAGTTCTTCCTCTTTTCATTGCTAGCGTATCTGGTATTTTTGCACCCATCACAGTAGCAATCAATGACCCTTCTGGTGTCCGGCAAACACTCACTTGATATGCTTTTGAAGCTGTGATACGGCCATAACGCATCTCATACCACAAACTGCTTTTATCTTGATTTCTCGTTGCTTCTTCTATGGCACTTATTTCAGCCTCTGTGATATTTGTCTTCATCACTTCAACAAATTTATCAACATCAGCACTAGTTTCCTCTGATTGATTCATCAAAAAACAGTGTAATGAATACTGCATGACATCTTTATGTTTAAAATCATTTTGATATTTAAGTAATTCACATTTGGTTATATTTCTAGATTTGGCCACAGAAATGAATTCATTATATAGTTCAGATGAACTTGGTCTATGAGGCACTGCTTTCTCACACATCTGCTCAACAGTGATATATTTCATAGTGGTCCCTACTCGCGATAGAATAGGTTTTTTCCAGTAGCATTCTACTGAAGTACATGCAGGTTCCTCAGTGCGACGATGGACCCACATCAGGAAAGCAACTGAATGCTTGCATCCCCCAGCTGAAGCAGCACAGTCAAGGCACTGGCAGCTAATGACTTCACTATCTTCTTCATTGATAATCATTGTTACATTATATGCCTTTGACCGAACTTTATGCTCTGGGCATATTTTGCATTTCATTGTGCAAACTCCTTGCTCCCGTTTGATTTGCACATAGCCAATGGCGTCGTCACCATAAGATTCCCTTGCAGACCTGTAAACAAAAGCAAAAACCACATAAGAGATGTGACTCTAAGTTCCTAACCTAAAAATTAAGGCTTATTAAAATCAATTAATACGGGAATAATATTATATAACGACATAAAGGTATTATAATGCAACAATAGCATTTATTATATATGAAAACAAATGATTAAAATATGCCGCGTGAATTTTTTTCTACAACATATAACATATAAGTTTACAAGGGTAAATAATATGTAAATAGATTCCACTTTGGTACTTACACTGCTGTTTTCACATTTTTTAGTTCAGATGAATAATAATCAGCGTTATTCTTAAAAAAAAGTGCAACCATTAAAGCGTCTATCCTGGGTAAGTTGCTGCTATCGGCTTGCACAAAATTTGCGTCCATTTTTAGTATGGTAAACTAATATTAATAACACTAGTTATAAACAATGTCCGTAGTAGCAAGTAGTAACAAGTAATTCTTCGAAAATAGTTTACAAATAGAAATTACAGCCAAAACACAGTAAACTCCAACGACAATCAATAGCGCAAAACACCTGTTCGCTGGCGTGTGACGTCACGAGTGTTACCACCAATCACAGAGCGTTTCGATTCACGTGAAATTATTTAAAAAAACTTCATTTTTATTTTGTGAAATATGTAAATAATATACATTATTTTGTTAAAATAAAGTAGAAGTGGTATTCTTTAGACTATTGTCTCGTAAAATATCTATATTTTGTAGAGTATTTTGAATGTTGTCAAACACCGTATTACTAACTGATCTACAACCAGCTGTATTTTAGTCGAGTAACCCTATGCTTGGTCTCAATTTTAACTATAATTTATAGAATTAATATTTGATATGCAATATAATGGTATCAACACTACTTCTACGAATTGACATGAATTAGTGACACATGAAAATGACAATATGACAACGAACGTCATGACATTGTGACAACGGCACAGCACTTAAAGCGAGTGGAATGACTTCCGTCCTACGAAATATACGACAAGACTGTCGCGGTGTTAATGAAAAGTTTTAATACTTTAAAACAATATATACAAATATAAAATTCTTGTCAGTCCGTCGTTCGCTCGTTGGCAAGAATATAAAAAATAAAACGATTAAAAAAATCGACTAAAAATATCTATAAAATCGATAGGTACTAATTCGTTAACAACAAAATATCAATTCCTTTATTGTCAGTATCATCGTCATCGAGTTCTTCGTTAAAATGTATTATTATCGACTCAAGTTCTTAGTACTTTCAGCTTATTCTGTGGTGGTTTCACTAAAACATTTCTACGACCCATAAGAATGGAAAAATAATACGGCGAAGCTCAAATTAAATGATATTGACGAGTGAGGCTCAATTCCTCAAAAATATACTGATACTTGCATCTTAAACCCTATCTTTAATAGAAACTTATAAAGTCTCTTTTCAAAAACACCGCAGCAGGTTTTTAAACTATTTTAATATCAATGAGATAAATTCGTTACGTTTACGAGCGTAGACAACACGAACCGTCACCTACCGACGTTGTTTTTCCATTAATCGGTCCTAAGCTGCCGTCATATTTCGGCAACTCCTTGCATTTTGCTTGCTGGAATAAAAAATAAAATTTGATTAGCAATTTTAATTAAAAATGACCATAAGGTGACGAATGTTTCGCCTACCTGTGTTATGGGCATGAACTTGGCAGGTCTAGGCACTGCCGTGGCGCCAGTCCCATATAATAATATGTATTGTCATAACCGAATAAACATAGAGATGAAAATTAATTTAATCAAAATAAGAGGCGGCGGATCCCGTAACTTACGCTGTCAACCAAAAAAACCGAAATAATTTCGTTGATAACTAACTGAAAAATCATTCAATATTCAGAGAAACGGTTGTTGTATCGAGAATTAGTAAGTAAATTATAAAGGAAACATTCAGTCATTAACTGCTATCCAATACCTGTAAGTAAGTATAGTCCATAAAAATCTACAACGTTCAACAATGTTTTTGTAATATTTGCTAATTTATCAACAGGTGGAAATTGACGTCTGTTTTAGTTTGTTATATAAGTCGAAAATATTTACACTAGTATTTTGAGCAGACAATTTATACGATCAAGCGTTTACGCCCAATAAGTGTTAACACAAACAAGTCGATGGTCCATGGTAATTTAATTATTCACGGCATTTTAAGTTTTTAGCGAGTCCGAAAATGATTGTGAGAATTTTATTCGTAAAGACTTCAAAGAAGACAATTTTTGTTAAATAATATGTCTAAGTCTAATCGCATAGTACTCGTAATTGGACGTTGAATCTGTTTTTTTTTATTGCGGAGTTCATAATTTATGAGTCACCTAAACAATAGGTTGCAAGTCCATAAAAAATAATAACTACGTAGATACAAGTTTTCCTTTATACGCTATTGAGCCTTTGGCCCTGACGCTCTGACCTCGAATACGGGCAAAACTCATCGTCTTTCGCATTATCGTTTCCATTTCTTGAATCATGAATGAGACCTAAACTGTCTCTAGATGTGAGAATCTATCACATCAAGAAGCAGTTCAGGTTTTAGGTAAACAGTAATTTTATGAAAAACCCATTCTATTTGCAGAAGGCATTTAAAGGGAATGAAAAATGAGTGTTCGTGTAAAAAAGATTAGGTAAAACTTACTTCCATGAGTTCAACAGCTATTTCCATAAATAATCGCTCGACATTTTCAGCCTCTTTAGCTGATGTCTCTAAGAAATACATGCCGTGACGCTGTGCAAAGTCTTCACCGATGTGCCTTGGAATCTCCCTGTCTTCCCGATCAGTTTTATTACCTGAAAATTATATAACAGAATAATTATAACAAAAATCCATTAGAAAAGAAAAAAAATGCTTTTTTTGTTTAATCGCAATAATATGACTACACAGTTGGCGCGGTGGCTGGGTAACTGGCTGCCACGCAACGTGTCACGGGTTCTATTCTCGCACGAAACAACTCTTTGTGTGATTTACAGATTGTTGTTCTGGGTCTGGGTGTCATATGTATGTGAAATTGTATGTTTGTAAACGCACCCACGACACAAGAGACAAACCTAGTCCGGGGCAACGTCTTTAAAAAAAAATGTAATGTACTAAAACAATTACCTACAGAGGTCTGCCTCGACTGCCAGACTGCCTCGTTGGCCGAGTGGTCTCAAGTGCGACTGCCTGGCAAGGGATCTTGGGTTCGATTCCCGGGTAGGGCAAAGTATTACTGGGTTTTTAAAAATTTCAGGAGTAGCACGGAGTCTGGAAATATGCCCGGTATATGGCAATAGGTTGACTCCCTATTACATGGGACTCATAACATAAATAGTGAAAAGTGGGTGTTACATTGTACATTGGCATTAAGTACCGAAATGTGCACCTCTGCCTAACCCTTCGGGGATAAAAAGGCAGGATGATATGTTCAAAATGCTAAGTTCATTATTCCGTAGAAAAATAAGTGTACAGTAATTTTTTTTATTCCAAAAACATATTAAAGTAAAATAATCTCATCCCTATTTATCGCATAAGTAGATTAAGCTACATTTTAGGATTTAAGGCGTAATGGTACTTAGAGGTTTATGAGTCATCACCAAACAAGATCGAATGGCTATGTAAGACGTAGGCTGACGCCTACGACCTTGCTCCCTATTACCCTCATATGGTATCGAGACAGTCGTTTTATGTATTAATTGTATAAAAGTATGAAATAATCGAAAATTTTGTATATTCTTTTTCATCTATTATTACGATATTTAAGTAAACAAATGATAAAGTGGATTTTGGATCATCGATAGGCACTACTATCCTTCTTAATGAAATTATAAGAATAATATGAAAAAACGCATTAAAAAATGCGAAAGTTACAAAACAAGTTGTCCTTAACCCCAATGGGCCTCATCAAATTGATCACTTCCAGCTATGGTTCGAAAATTAGGGTCAAATTGATCAATAGCTTTACTGACAAGTTCCTGTATAAGGTCATGTCAACTGTGCAGCAACCACACAAGGCCTTGTAAGATAGTTTACTTTCTCTTTTAAAACCATTACGATAATTATGCCAATTGAACACTTTCGTTCCCTAAGGAATAATTTATTAAGCATTGGAGCATTGCCGCTAACATTAATTATGTAAGTAGTATAACTTCTAAGATGAGTTGTTTAACAGGTTTCAATTAAAAATTCTTTGACTTATCGTCATTATGAAGGGAATAAAAAATTATGAAATATCATAACTTAATAAATGTAGCTAAAATGTTGAACTAAACTGTTTTTATAAGTTTCTCTAAAATTCTCAATTATTACAACGGAGTCTGTAATTGACCCTGGTGTCAGGTGGATGTTTTATTGACCATGTGCACCCCAGCATAGTGGGCCACACACAGATTCTGTAATAAGTTATGGTTGCTTATGGGACAACATGCTCCATCGTAGAACACATAATCGCTTTCCACCAGGCGAAATAGTGGTGAAACGTTAGCCTATCAAATATAAAAAAAATAAAAGTTATCCAACCAGTACTAGTCAGCATGCTTGTAATATGCAAAAATTTTAAAGTAACTCACCAACTAATATCCTAAGAACTTTATTGTTGGCATATTCTTCAATTTCTCTAAGCCAGTCTGGTAGACAGTCAAATGTCGGCTGGCAAGATATATCATACACCAGTATCAGAGCATGAGCAGATCTGTAGTAGCTCTGTGTAATTGAACGGAATCTCTCTTGCCCAGCAGTGTCCCATATTTGCAACTAAAACAGGAAAACAAAAATAATTATAAATGTTTACATAATAAAATTGCTTGGCTCATTGTTAGGTAGGTACTATAAGTGTAAAGCTAAGAAGAGTATTGGGATATTGGATCTGACAAAAAAATTCTCAGGAAGTACTCAATATCATGGAATGTTGAATTCTGCCTGGTACTCCGTAAAAGGTTTACACCTTCTTGGGGGTAAAAACAATTATGACTATTTAACAGGAGAATTAAGCAGGTGATATATAATTTGCACGTATTTTAGCCCCTGCTGCTCCTCGTAAGATTAAAAGGTGTCATTTGTGTATTGTGAAAATGTACATTTTATTATAATTAGAAATCAGCCAATAAGGACTAAAAGGAAAATAACAATCTAGAAATAATAATAGGTAGGTAATAATTAAATGTGTAAAAGTAATTATTTAACAATAACATTTAATTTCATAGCAGGATAGCAGGTATGTTTTTGTTCTACCTATTAATAGCCTTTGTCAACATAATAAAATTTGAGAACATAATACTTTCTCATTTACTATAGGTCTACACAAATAATATTCTCAATCAATTAATTACTGTACTGGCAACATGTTGTGAAGTTCATTGTTTTTTTATTTTCTTCAAATTAGTACAAGGGCATCTCTGCACAAAGGATATTTGTTTAAAGAAAAACACAAATATACACTGACAAAACTAATAATTTCAGCTCTAAAATGATGCAATCCATGCCATATTTGGTATCAGTGTTAAAGAAACTCACCTTCACTTTCTCACCGTCAACTTCTACAGTTTTTATCATGAAATCAACTCCAATTGTAGCACCCTGGCCAGGTGGAAAGAGACCTTGAGTAAAACGACGTACCAAACACGTTTTCCCAACTCCCGCATTCCCAACTAACACTACTTTAAATAGAAACTTATAATCCTCCATAACGAGCACCAATTCACATTTGTCGCAAGAAAAAAATAGAATTCTTTAGGTATTTAGTAGTCTTCACCTCTCACTGTTACGCTTTGATGAATCGAACGTCTATTACATTACGATAAATCACTGATATATTATCAAATAGATTATTTTGCGATCACAAGTTCATTACGATTAGATAGTGAAATCGACAACCGTATTGTCAAATCAATTCTACATACAGCCACCAAAACATTAGACAATGAGAAAGAAAACTCAAGAGCGAGAAATATCGACGTCGTTCAAGTAAAATTGTTTTTGGCTTTTGCTTTTACGAAGAACGTTAAAAGCTTAGTTTACTTATTAACCGACTTCTTTTATTTTAATGTTATTTATAATCGTTTTACCTTTCAGTAGTCATCGCGTATATCAAAATGATTTTATAATTCAGTTAAATAGTCGTGGTTATAAGCTGCGAATTGTTCAATTTTATTCATATCACCTACATATTTACCTTGCAGAATTTATCGTTAACTTGCTTCGTAAACAATGTCAATTTTTAGTCGATTTTAGTTAAAACGAAAGTGCTCATAAGTGACACAACACTACGATGCGACGCTAAACTAAACAATAATAACAAAACCGTGCGTGAAGAGTTCGTTTGTTTGTTGAACTTTGTTGGTTAGGTAATCTTTAAAACAAAGACGTATTTTTGTGATTTTGTGTAATATTTATTTTATTTGGCGGTATTACGGTTGTCAGTGACAGACTGTTAGATGACTTTGATTGATTGATGTATTTAGTGCTTCCAACTTGTATTCGCGGGTGTATATGCGTGCGGTGCATAAAGTTTATTCGGTGTAGTTGGCGTAGCACATATTTTATTTGGTTTGTTCGAATTGAGATTCTTAGAACTATGTCTAGTATAAATTATACTACCCGTACCGAAGGACAAACCAAAATAAACACTATAATATGGACAGTGCCAAATTTTATTATTCTGTTGGAAAACAAAACTAATAGAGAGTTTCGTACCGAAAAATCTAAGGATCCTACTACTGATTTGTCGGAATCAAGATTCCAGTTGAAGATGCAATTCCTAGGAAGAGATAATGACATCATAGAAATCTACTACCTGTCCCCAACTCCTGTGTTCTTGAAGTCTGTCTTAACCATATGTCTGAAACGTTTCGAAGAGCGGTCGATAGTAATTAAAGAGTATCACACTGTACAGGCAAATAAATGGCAGTACTTAGCAACATTATTCAAACGAGACATAGCCAGTTATGATGGCAGAGACATATTCCTACTTAGTGATGGCAGTTTGAGACTGAAATTCCAGTTTATGGTAACTAATGATATTAAAGTGGACCGCTCTAATATCCCTGAGGCGCAACTGAGCAATGATTTTGAAAATTTACTAAACAATGGTTTGTTTTCTGATGTCACTATGAAATCTGTAGAAGATGTTGAATATAAGGTGCACAAGGCTGTGTTAGCCAGCCGAAGTGCAGTTCTAAAGGCACATTTTGAACATAACACTACTGAATGCCTTACTAATATTGTTGAATCTCCATTAGAGTCTGAGGTATTGAGAGAAGTCTTGACTTTCATATACAGTGACAAAGCTCCAAGGGTGGATGAAATACCAGAGAAGTTGTTGGCTGCTGCAGACTACTACCAACTAAGCAGACTGAAGAATCTCTGTGAGGAAGCTCTGCATAAGAAATTAACAGTGGAAAATGCAATAGAAACCTTACAACTGGCCGATCTTCACTCTGCCAATACTCTGAAGCAACTCACACTTGAGTTTATAAAGGATGGTCAGGCAAAACTCATAACAAAGACTGAAGGTTGGAATAAAGTGAAGTCTGTGGAACTAATCAAAAGGATTTATGAATACATCATGACTGATGATATTGATGCAGATATTAAGTAGTCACCTTGTTACTACAGATGTTTATAATATGATATTAAACTTGTTGACAGCCCTTACACATATTGTCTTCATATTCTTGATAGACTGTAGTGCATTCCAACTTAAGTGTGAGTGAGTGTGTGTGTTTAATTAATGTCTTAAATCTTAATGGTAAATAAGATGAATTTGTTATATTGTCATTGTTGTTATCGATGCTAGATTGTTATTAGTGATTATTTATGAGATTGTTAATACAAATACTAAATTCCTAATGATTTTGCCATTAGAATGTAATGTAAAAGAAATATTAAAATGACAGGGAGTTAAATTGTACAAATAATAAAATACCATATTTTATTTTGAAATTTTTATTACAATTTGATTAACATAGAATTATCAATGGCAGCCAATATAGTGTATACATTCCTCTATTACTTTTATAATAACTATCATGAGACATACTAAATTAACTAAAATCGCGGAATACCAGCTGCGCGACATCGCCGCGACCGCGCACGCTGCTCATAAGCAAGTACCCCTCTGTGGTTTGAAACTAGTAGAGCTTTTCTCAGTATATTCACGTTAGTTACCCGCGATTTTTAGTTAATTCCTCTAATATTTATTAATATCAAATGTATTGACTAAAATTATGATCTCAAATAGGGTGCAAGTTCCATTACATATTCCAAATTATATCAATTAGGTCTTAAGTTATCAGTATAATTCTGATATTTTATGCTTGTATTGTATTTTACAATATTTTGACAATTGTATTTTTTTTTTATAAAATGTCCTATAAACAATATGACGATTACATTTGTTTTTTTTATTTCACTAGATCATTTAAAAAGCTTACTACATGTCATATTATATTTGGTAAGACAACAGTATAAAGGGTAAAATCTCTATAAATGAGTTCAATATTGAGCACACTCCAGTCACTACAATCACATAAGGATATTCAAACTCATTTTTAGAATGTTTGTCTTTTTAAAGGTATGATGTATACAAATCTAAAAAATACTACTGTACTAGTACTTAACTATCCATAGTTGCCTAAAATTAAAGGTGAGTATATAAACAAAAAAATACTCAAATGCATTGGTGCATACCTAGAGAGAAAAGATTTCCTCAACATAACAACATAATATTAAATACTTATAAAATGTAATATTATAATAAATAATTATCTCGTACGAGTATCACTATCGTTACCACTGTCCGTGTCACTCATATTATCACTACTGTCATCATCATCGTCATCTGAATCGGTGTCACTATTACAGTATGCCGGATCTCTATTACAGTTGGCAAACATATCATCATCGTCCTCATCACTCATTTCCGGTTGTGCATCGTCAAACTCTTTTGGCCAAACATTCTTTTCTTTATAATATTTTATAGAGTTTTTATTCATTATTTTCACTACTTCAGCTTTTACTTTGTCTCCTTCAGGTATCGGTTCAACAACAATATATGAGCCTCGTCCCACCCAAATGTTATTTCTGAATTTAGTTGGCATGGATACTAAGTATTCTTCACCAGTTGGGGTTATTACCTAGAAAAGAAAAAGAAAACAAGTATTTATTTATGCTATATAGCTTTACAACATTACATAGTAGGGGAGCCCACGATGCTAAATTGGGATTTACTTGAGCGTCCTTGGGACCTACTGGATTTTGAAGATATGCTGATAGAAAGAAGAAATGGTTTAGTGACAATTTCTTCCACCAGTGGGGGAAGGGGGAATCTACAGATCTTTGAAATTGTTAAGCGTAACTTTTGTTCTAATGGTCGAGCGTGTCAGATATTGATAATGTACATGCTCCATGTGTATTTAATAATAAAAAACTCTTAATCTGCCAGTTTGCATGGTGGGGTTGAATGTTCTGGAGAGTACAAACGGGAACCCTTCAAAATCCCCCCACTCTTGCAAATCAAGTTGGAATGGACAGATTTTTTAAACGCACTTCCTTTAGCACGGTATTGACCTACCTTCCCTTAATCTGACGAAACTGACTTTATTTAGTCAGACTTTTTTTTTTATTTTCAGTCCCCCCCTTCTAACATAACATCATAACATCACGCCTTTTATCCCCGAAGGGGTAGGCAGAGGTGCACATAGAAGTTCCCCCCCTTCTAATCAGATCAGATATATGTTGGGTATATTCAACATAACACTAAGTTTTCCCCATATTATTATGTTAATCTGACGCGCTCGAGTAACTACTGAAATCCCTTCATGGGCTCCCCTACTAACAGTTTAAAACACATGTATCAAATGGGTAATGTATGGGTAACCCATAACATAACATACACATGGTACACATATTCAATGTTAAGACAATCTGTAGGTACTACACTGGTCAGCAAATAAACCCAGCTACCCAATTCCTAGGAACTCTGATTCCTTAATCTTTTTGTATTGGACAATCCTTTGAATGAGCAAATAGCTTCACTTTTAATTTTTTTTGTTGACATTCAAAATTGCCTTTCTGGTCTAATTGAAATAAATTATTTTGACTTTGACATAGATTGAGAAATATAAAAACGCTATGTTTTAAAAGGAGCCAAGCAAGCAGCAAATGACATGACACCGCACCAAAGTAGCTTAGTCTACTACATAGTTCTCTAACATAATTCCATTAAACAATAAAATTACTTCCAAAATTAAAACCAAAATTCGTAGGTATAAATAAGGGTTGATATATATGGGGGATTATGGGTGTGGCAAACCACACCCATATATATATATTTACAGGAACAACACAACAAGTTATAAATAACCAAAAGGTTTTTGAAGTCGGCTTTAGTTAATGAACAGGTTGCTTATGGGCAGATGTGCTCCATCATAGGCCGCATCATCGCTTACCACCAGGCGAGATACTGGACAAACATCGGCCCATCATGTATAAAAAAAAACCATTTGTAATTTTATCAACTTCTAAATTAAAATTATAAAAACAGTAATTATTTCTAAAAGTTCTAATACCCCTTGTTACAGTTATATGTCATAGAAATTATTCAAATTTTGTAAAAACAAGGGTAACTAAAAGTAGTTACCATGGCAAAGGCCATACTCATATTTTTAAGGCTTTAATTGATAATTTTGTTCAAAGTTTGTGGCACTTTCCTATCAATGTCTTGGTAACACATCAGTATTTAAACTGTCAAACACCAAGCAGTCACTGGTGACCGCAACCTATTGTTCTATAATTGTGTCTATAATGACGGTACTCGACGAGTTAAGACTGATAATAGTTACTTTTTAGTTTTATATTATATTATGTTTCGTTTGCTTTAGTACGAGCTAAAGCCGACTTCAAAAACCTCTTGCTTTTTTATAACTGCTTCCATCGTTGTGTTGTGCCCGTAAATAAATGGATGTGGCAAAGTAGTGTTCTTTATTTTTATAACATAATTAATCATTCCGAGGACACATAGCATATTATTGGAGGAAGTAATAATTAACTAAATAAAGAATCTTTTAAACCAAAACAAATTTAAAAATGCCTATTAGTTTTTTTTTTTTATAATTTAGAAGTCTAAAAATTACAGGTATTAACTCGTCGAGTACCGGTTTTGTAGACACAATTATAGAACAATAGGTTGCGGTCACCGGTGACCGCTTGGTGTTTGACAGTTTAAATAAAAAATTAAACTTTGGTATATGGCCTATAAGTACTTTACAGACATGTTCTTGGAAACCATTTGTGTTAAAAACAAATGTAAAAATAGATTTAACAGACTTTGGAGAATACAAGAAAATTTATTTTAGACCATTCTAGACCTACAAAATATTAATTTGGAGTTAAAAGAAATATTTTGAGTACCTAGGCCTTATACTTTTCATTTTAATAAAAAAAATATTTTGCCAACCGTGAAATGAATGAAAGGATGATATGGGTAAAAGATAGCTAACTAGCTGACTTTCCAAATCCCTGAAAAATAGTGTCGGTTTATGCTCATGCGCCAAAATCCCTGTTTATGAGTGGGTACCTATAGATATAGATTAATGTGAATGCCTTACCGCATGTAAATTGTTTCCTCTGTTCTTCAACACTTTTACAATGCTTTGGTTCTCCTTAGGTAACTCATCATCATCCCATGTATTTTCATTCATTACATGCTTCCTTCTAGTTACCCGGGACATTTTTGTAAGTTATATACAAGGCACACACTCCGAACAAAGATTGATTGTATTGATTTTAGGATTTTAAACTCGAATTTATTACACCTTTTGATTTACTCTTGTGCAATAAAAACCCGTATCCAAATAGCAAAGATCGAGCCTCAGCTCGTTCCACTAAACACTGAATTCCCTCAGTAGTTAGCTCTTAGCAAGCAGACTGAAACACTCGAATCTTTATTGATCGGCTTGATCGCTTCTCTCATAGAAATACTATACACTCTATTTCTATATTCGTAGGTTATTTCGCGTTCCGGGTTCAGGTATTACTCTAGTTGCAATTTTACGCATATCTTCTCATCCTATTAATTTTGTCTCTCACTTGTATGTTGCAGAAATGATTTAAAAATAATATAGATAATGACTTTCAATGTAGCTCGAAACATTGTACCTAATGATAAATAAAAATCTAACATGTTTTGAGAATTTGACATTGACGTGCAGTACGCACGGGTGTCGTAAATTACTTTGTATTTCTATTTCACTAGCACTAAAGAATAGAGGCTGGAAATTTCGGTCAATAATACTGGAACGTGCAAATCTCATCGCATGGGGATGGGAGGATGGGGATGATGACAAGGACGACGATAAAAAATATAATATGTAGGTCTATGTAATATTATTTTATACAACAAATCGTAGCGTACCTAGTCAATACCTACATTGAATACCTATTTGAATGATCACCTCGAAAATGGCTTACCTAACTTCATTAATTATTATTTTATATCAGTATCGTCCATTGAACTTAATTATGTAGGTACCTACCTACTACCTAAGCGCATGCTTATCGGATCGGTAAACCAGGCTTCGCTCGATACGGTGCATACCACGTGCATACCCTTTCGAATGAAGTTTGGTTTACCGGTATTTTTAACGAAATGCTTTTATTTCGCGCCCAACGCCTTCCATTTCATAGATATACTTAAGATTGTCATTCGAAGATAGTGTAATAGCTACATAGGTAAGTACTTAGAGATAAAGGTGCCCATTGTTTCTGTAATACCTATGTCCTTTGATTATATAGTGTCATTATATAATGAAAGCCTATATTCTTAATATTTTTAGGCACAATATCGAGTACCTAGTACCTACCATCTAATATTGTACTATAAATGAAACAGAATTGAGAACCTTGTCCTTTTTGGGAAGTCGTTTATTTATGTAGTTAAAAAGTAAAGGTTATTGACCGTCTAAAAAGCACGGCTTCGGCGCAGCGTTGTTTTGCGAAAAAATAAAGCTGCTAGCGCGCTTTCGGCCGCGAGGTGGAAGCTGTTTCACCGACTCAAAAAGGAGGAGGTCATCAATCCGGCTGTATGTTCTTATTTTTTGTGTATGTTACCCGATTACACCGATGTTTGTGGACGGATTTTGATGATTATTTTTGTGGTGGAAAGGTCTGACTCTCGGGGTGGTCCCATTTCCACCAGGTCAGGATCTGATGATCCCATGGAAACCGAGGGGATCTTTTCAAAGTTGTATGGTCGGCGAGAGCGTTTGTAAATTTTTTTTATATAGTATTTTAAAACTATTACAATTTGATAAAAGTATGGAGTTGATCTGATGATGGAGTCAAGAGACAGTTGAGGGAACTCCTCAAAAATTTGTAGCAATCACTCTTGGGGGCCAGATGATGAAGTAGGTAGTATGATAGCTAAGGCAACTTCTGTAATAGTAACCCACTGATAGGTTATAAGTCGGTGCCACAAGCTGTAAGCAAGCAGCCCATATCAAAATATAACTTAACTAATGGTCATAGTTAGAATCTGTCATAAAATTGTACAAAGCTTAATACATAATAAGGTATTTGTTATGGGTTTAAAGAAATAATTCGTGTATTTTCTATTGTGTCTCATATCAGTGCGTTCAAACGGAGAATAATTTTGTGTTTACATTTTGCTTTTTAGTTTTTCCCTTTTACTTCTTACATATCAGTGGGTGGGTAACCCATACCTAAGTAAGTGCTCATGGCACAAAGGGTCATAGCGATCCGAATGATCCACGGATACCGCACGATCTCTGGGGAGTCGGCGAACCTCCTTGCCGGACTACCGCCGTGGGATCTGGAGGCGAAGGTGCTCGCGCGCGTGTACAGCATGCGCGCGGAGGCACGTCGCCGGGGCGAAACCCCGCTGCCGCGCCAGATAAGTGCGTGGCGGGATGAGCTCCGGCGCGATCTCATGGCGGAATGGCAGCAACGACTGTCGCAACCGAGGGCTGGGCTCGCTGCCATCGCAGCGGTAAGTCCCCTCTTTGAGGAGTGGCTTGAGAGACGCTACGGCGTCCTCACCTACCGCCTGACGCAGGTCCTCACCGGACATGGAAGTTTCGGGAGGTACCTGTGTCTGATGGGGCGGGAGGAAACGCCCGGGTGTCATCACTGCGAGGACCGCCCTGAGGACACGGTGGAACACACGGTGGGAGAATGCCCTTCGTGGGCTGAGCACCGCCGTGTCCTCAGGGAAGTGATCGGCGATGGCGACCTCTCGCGTCCGGGCCTAGTGCAGGCCATGATGCGGAGCGAGGGGGATTGGGATGCCGTCTCCTCCTTTTGCGAAGCAGTCATGCTAGCTAAGGAGGAGGCGGGACGCGTGAGGCAGCGAAGCGCTGCCTCCTCGCAACCCAGCCATCGCGAAGGACACACCGGGCGTCGGGGATCGCGGGACGATCTCCGGCCACCGTAAGCGCGGGCCTGCGGACGGCGAGCATGGGTGGCTCCCCGTCCGACCAGAAACAGACCCGAGCGTACGGCGCGTCGCGTTCCGCGCGCGCCTCAAAGAGCCATCAGACCACCACAGATGGGGCCCAATAGGGCCGATGCCGATTCGGAGTCTAACGGGTAACCGGGGCTCCGGCTCGACGTGCAGGAGAAGGAACGGGGTGGTTTTTAGTCAGTAAGAGTCTGACACTCCCTCCCGCCTCACCCAGGCGGGAGCAGTCATTCGATGATTTTCCCCCCTTAAAAAAAAAAAAATACCTAAGTAAGTACGTATGACTAATACTTAATACTTAAGTATTTTTTGCTTTTTAGTTTTTCCCTTTTGCTTGTTTTAGCAGTCGGTTTTTTTAAACGCCATTTTTGATTTTCTCATTCCGACTTCACGAGTATAGTCAACAATATCAACCTACGATGCACGTTGTTTCGCTGGCGCCTGGTGGGCGGCTCACAGTCAAATCGCCGTCGTCGCCGTGCTGCCGAAGCGCTAACAAATCGCGGCGGCTCATTGTATTGACTTTTATGAAATACACATATCGACCATTATTACGACCTGAATGCAGATCTCCTCAATAAACTTGACCGACTTCTGTTCTGAATAACTGCATTCGATTCGTTTTCAACCTGCGTAGATAAGATAATGTTTCTGCATATTTTTTGATACTCTCTGTAAATAGGCATTTTTAGTTTTCTTTCATTTAATTTTCTCTTTTAGTTTTTGTGTCTCTTAAACTGTCAAACACCAAGCGGTCACCGGTGACCGCAACCTATTGTTCTATACCTAACGACGGTACTCAACGAGTTAAGTTGTACATATTTATTTATTTTTCCTTTCCTTATATTGTAAATACCTAACTAATAAAGATCATGAAGATATTGTAACGTAGGTATATGGCAATTTTAATTTACAAGAAATATTTAAGTGTCAGGAACATAAATCGAACTTGTATCTAATAAAGTACCATATTTTATTTTAGACCATTTATTATAAAGCGATTAACAAACAATTATCAATGTCAGCCGATACGGCAATAAAATTAAAGGAAACATTCCACAGTAACTATTTATTAATATCTACTATTACAAATGTTTTGACCATAATTATGATCTCCAACAAGTCGCAAGTTCCTTAACAAATTCAAAATAATTATTAAGTCTTAAGGTATCAAGATAAAACTGATTTTATAAGCTTGTGTTGTTTTACAATATTCTGAGAAATGTATTTAAAATAAAAATTCTTACTTACAGACAATAATTTCTTATTTATTAGGTATTAGATCACTTTAAAATTTTAATACATGACTATATCTATGGTAAGCCAACAGTATAAGGAGCAAACACTCTGAAATGAGTTGAATATTGAGCACGCCCAGTCACTAGGATCACATAAGAATATTCAACTGACTTTCAGAATGTTTGCCCTCGTCTTTCCAAAGGAATGTTCTATACTAAATTAGTACAATGGCGACTATGGATGGAGTCGCCTGCAATTAAAGGTGAGTAAAAGAATTGCTCCAAATGTTTTCAATATTCACCCCCACTGTCCGAGTTCTCAGCCCTGGCCTTGTATGTGTCCGTATCACTGTCACCCGAATCACTGGAACTATCGGATATCAGCGTTCTATTACCACAGGGCACAAATAACTCCTCCTCATCATCATTTGTGTTCTCTTTCTCTTCGAACTCCTGTGTCGAAAGTTTTTCGTCCTCCGAATCATTGTTAACAAGATGGTCCAGCTCTTTATTGCTGTTCGCAAATAAGAAATTACTGTCATCCTCATAAGCATTTGTCTTCCCTTCCTCGTCGAATTCTTTTGGCCACACATTATTTTCTTTATAACATTGTATAGAGATTTTGTTCATTATTTTCACTATTTCAGCTTTTACTTTGTTTCCATTAGGTATCGGTTCAACAACGATATATGATCCTCTTCTCACCCATGTGGTTCTTCTCAATTTAGTTGGCATGGATACTAAGTATTCTTCACCAGTTGGAGTTATTACCTAGAAAAGAAAAAGTAAACATAAGTATTTATTTATTTTATAGCACACTTCACTACATGACAGCCAGATAAATCATACATCTACTACATTTCTTAAATTAGTACATTATTCACTTTGTAACATAATAATATTATGAATTTCTTACCGCATGTAAATTTCTTCCTCTGTTCTTCAACACTTTCACAATGCTTTGATTCTCCTTAGGTAGAACCTCATCATCTTTCCATGTAGTAAGCCTCATTAGTTGCTTTCTTCTAGTTATCCGAGAATACATGTTTGCAAGATACAAAACACAAAACTCACAGAACTAAAGATTTTAAATTATTAAATAAACTTGAGTTTACGACGCCTTTAGATTTATTTTACTCGTTTGCAACAAACTCAGCAAAGAGCGAGCAATGCGTGCATAAGCTAGTAACGCTAAACACAGAATGAATATTTCTCACAGAAAAGCTACGCACCTAAACTCGTGCGCGTTACCTTGCACCCCGCTTCCCGCTACCCCGCGCGATGCCCCGCGTTCGCCCAAGCAGCTCAGTACCGATAAAATAGCACCAATGTTAACGCTGCATGCTTACTTCGTTCCTGGTTGTTTCTCTATTTTGAATGATTGATTAATTATTTGATTGTTTTTGTTAAATTTTCTCAGTAAAAACTTACGTCTGTTACGTTTGGACTGTTAGCTTAGAGGTTTGATATTACACGTATTTATGCAAAATATAGATACCATGCTGCATGCATCACATACATTTCATAATTTAGTCATCGCCCCGAAATTGACTTAACTGACTTCATATACCGTTGAGTACATACTCCATTATAATTTATTTATGTAAGTACTATATGTATATTTTCTATAGGACACATTTCCTTTTCAGAACTATTGACGAATAACTTAGGAATATGGGTAAGCGTAATTAAAGTAAGATCCTCCGAATGTGAGATAGTCGACTGAAAACTTCTGAAAAGTCTTTATTTTGAGTCTCAAAACCTTATCGTTGGCCATCCACGTGAATATAAATTTGATGATCAAAGATCAAAAAAAGTTATATTTTAGACACGTATGGCAAATATTTCATTTCTTATAGAGGTAAGTATTTATGCTAGGTATTCGTTTGTATAAAGATATTGTAGAAAATTAAAATAATTCTCTATCTATAACTTTGATCAATATTTATTTTTAAACTGTCAAACACCGAGCGGTCAATAAATATTATTTCTCTCGTCATCATTTACAATAATATACAGCAAACAATTTTACAATTAATGATATTTTAAACTATAGCTAGTACTCTTTTGTTTCGCTACCATTCATTCATTAACAAAAAATGTAAAATAACAATATAAAAAAAAAATAACAATACATAACTAAAGAAAGTGTTCTATGGTGTAAAAGCTGCTTAGAGATAAGGGTGCCCATTGTCTCTTTAATTATGTCCTTCGTATTTCTAGGAACAATAACGAGTAGGTACCAAGTATCTATGCCTAGGGGTATTAGAAAGTGGCATTACATGTGGTATTAAAAAGTGGCATTACATGTGGTATTAAAAAGTGGCATTACATGTGGTATTAAAAATGTAGCCAAAAGGCATGGTACTTGTTTGGGCTGTTTCGATTCAAAAAGCAGCTTATTTAATTAATCTGGTCATTAGTTTAGTTTAGGTAATTCAGTTGCGTGGTATAAAATATGTATAATATGAATTAGGTGTAGTGACCGCACGGTTTCATCTGATGCAGCGGTTGGGTGGCCGGCAGCTGTGTATGAGACATTTCCGTGCGTGAATCGAACTCGCGACTCGTTACGTGATCTTATGTACCTAATCTACAAACACCTGTATATTTTGAATCCTGTAAATTAACGATACAGCGTCTTTTGAACCAGAATAATTTGCCACAAATGTGGAGGAAACGAGGAATACCTCATACACAC